CTCCCTGTTCTGAAGAGATCGAGAGATAGAGAGAGACGTACAGCAGCATACGAGGAAGTAATAACACACACCGCCAGCAAGTCTAGTTGAACGCGATCAAGTTCAGGAAATAAAATGAATTCAACCATGTCTTGCTGGCATGGAATGACATTCCAGAGATATGTATTCGTGACGTACACAATCAAATTGAGGAATAATTAAAAATAAATTTAACAATGCCTCGCTCGCATGGATGAACATTAAAGAGATATGAATTCCCGACGGGTTTAATTGAACGAAGCTTAGATCAACTGATTACAATTTGGTATTCTATGAAAGTAAACAGGTGAGTCATGGGGTCAACAATGTCTCAATCGTATATGGAATACATACATTACAGAGATACATGTAAGGATTCGTGACGTTTTCAGAGTTGCACTCTGTCTCTCAGATGTTATATATATATATTAATGGTGGGGGAGGGGGGGGGGGGGTTCAGAAACTAATTGTCTCGATCTCTCTTTTCAACTGTAATTTATGTCAAGCGTCAGACATTACAGGCCTTATGCAGCACAGTTCATTGATACACTGTCAGATATATCATTGCCATATCAGGTGATTCCCCTTCCTAGCCGTTATTGGACACCAAATAGTCCATTTACATTGAAGTTTCAATAAAAATTGATTAAGCATGCAAGCTCCTGATTTGTTAACATATTTTTCTTCTTCATAAAGACCCTAACACTGTAAGAACATTATAGGCCCACGATTTACATCAACAGTTCTTCTCCCGGGTTCAATGTCTGCCATAGTATTGTTTTTTAAGATTCTTTAGAATTTAAGATTAACGGATATGACCAGTTGGGGCCAATAGCCCCGGTCATTTACAAAAGTCATACTCTCTCAAGAAAGAAGTGTGCATATAGGCATACCAGTGCATTTTGCAACTTTTCATTTTTGGCTCTTCCCCTTATTCCTATGTCATACCAAATATAGTATGATTTTAAAGAGGAATACACATCCCTTGTAATGATACTAAAAAAATTGATGATCATGACACGACAAGAGAGATAAAGTAGATCAAACTTCAGTTTCCAAACATTTTGTTTACATACCACGGTACAATAACGATGAAGGAAAGTAAGTTCCAAGACATGGTACAGAACCAGGCTTCCACCCCGCCCCCACCCCATTCAGTGTTATTTAGGGTACGCATATGCATGTTCCCTCCTAATTTTGAAAGCACCCCTTAAGTCCGGTGTGTAAAGTCATTACGGGCCGGACTTTAGTGCGTGAAGAGTACCCCTTTACCGGACATTTTGGGAACACGCATGGTATCCCTCCGTTCACGGAGTGCGGGGGGGGGGGGGGTTGGGGTGGGGGCTTCCACTATAGAAGAAAGACAGTTCCTATGGTATTATCATCCAACCATTGTCTTTAAGGGACTTAATCGTGAAAAGAAACATGTACAATCATGGCGGCGGCTGATCGAGGATTTCCAAAAGTGTGTGTATGCATGGGGGGGGGGGGGGCAACGCCAACGTGTGCGAGAAGCGTACTGCAAGTGTATCAGCGCAAGTCCAGGGGGTGTTTCACAAAGATCCTAAGTAGAACTTAACTCTAAGTTGGACTTAAAAATTATGGACAGCCATTGGAGTCTTAAAATGAAATATATTCAAAAGCAGAAATTCAAGTATTTTAGACTTTTTATAAATTCCACATCCAGAACATGAAATCTCCTTGATGATAGAAAATATGAATGATTTGAATAAACAATTAATGCCTTTCAAAATAACTTTTACAAAATATTTTCAAAGATGCTAATGGCTTTCCATAATTTTTAAGTCCAACTTAGGATCTTTGTGAAACACCCCCCTGATGGGTGGGGTCCATGCAGGGGCCCGCCTTAATATGAGATCCCTGTGATGCAAAGGTAAAGTCCGGTTAGGGTTAGGGGGCGGAACCTCTAGACACTCTCCAGTTTGAGCAAATCAGAACCTCCAAGATTGCCATCTTGGGCGGTAGAAACACACTCTCTAGCTCTCAAGGCTAATTTTTGTACAATAAAGGATTGTATTGGGAATCGCTTCAACAGACCTGCCAACCTCTGGAGTTCAAAAACTGTATTCTTTAGTGTCAAAAGTTGTATTTTACTGACAAAAGTTGTATGCTTGAAAATAAACACGGATTGTTACGCGGATCAATGCTTCTACCTACAGGAAGAATTTTTTTTATTGATCATTGGTTGAATATGCATTATTTCGTCACGACTGGTGTGTTCGATGAACCAATAAACATCCCCAAATTGCCGATGTGAGATGCTTGTAGGATACTTTACAGGACAGAATGGACATTTTGCCACACGCATTATTAAGGAAAATCGTACTTTCGTATTTGCTTCTAAAAATCGTACTAAATACGACTAAATCGTACTGGTTGGCAGGTCTGCTTCAATCTTTACGGATGGGGCCCGTCCATTGGAACGCCTTACGGTCCCCCATGGGTTACAGATGAAGAGCCCCTTGCCGGAGAGAGGTGGGGGGGGGGGGGGACCATGGGCGGAACCCTGAATGTTCTCGTATTCAGTTTTAGCAATTCATAAGCTTCAAGATAGCCGTCTTGAGCGATAGAAACTCTAATCTATTCCTTGAACTTAGCACTAATTCTATGGTATGGCTTTTTTTCGTTGGATATCAAATGTGTCTCTCACATGCACTCTCTCTCTCAAAGGTTACATGATGTGCCGTGAACACATGCCTTATATTCATAAAAAGTAGGGTAAAATCTTCATTCAATTTTGTTCATAATTTCAAATCGAAATATTTATTATTATCATACATGTGTATTCTTACATCTATGTATAAAGAAAATATGGCACATGAACTTGAGTCTATATAACATGAATATCTATAACTTTTAACCAACAAAACAAAGTTATCACACATGCCTACACAAGTCAGGTAGCTACACATATGACCTTTATCATAACAGGTTTACTTTTGAAAAATTATCATAGGATCAAGATACAAACATTGTTTCTCTTTTTTCATAATTATGTGTATTGTTGTTCGTATTGCAATTCGACAGATGTGGGTGTAAACTTTATGGATACTAATAATTAAAAAATGGGATCATGTGAAGTTATTCTGCGCTATATGGATATTTACATTTGATATACACATGTACCATTAAATAATTTCATACAATAATGGGAACATGGATGACTCCCCTGTTGTGTCGTCATAAAAAATATGGAAAAAAGCACTAAGGTTTAAGCAATACCAATAGGTATTCATAATTAACCTTTTCTAGTCGCTTTGTAAGAAAGGGGAAAAAAAGGGAAATGCTTCAATGCACAGAACCGTAAAAACATAATCTTGAAGCCTCTGGTATATTTATCCCATGATGCTTTTACAAAGGGGCAAACAGAGATTATTTGTGAGGCGTATAAAGAGTTACCGTATTTAACATCATAGTAACCTGAAATAATGATGTTGATGTCTGTATTACATTCAGGCCAAAATACCCTGGACTCACCTTAAGCTAAACATTATACAACTTCAACGAGTGATGTAATATTTCATCGAGGCCACAGGCCGATCTTGAAATGTAATGACACATAGGAAACTCTTAATTTGGAGGTGAATATATCTTACATTGAACAACGAAATTCCATTCAATATTTGTTATACACCTGTATACAATTTACGATCCTATGGAGTCAGACCATTTGGATTATATTCAGGTTGCCTTTGCGTCAGATGGACGCAGCTAAGACAATGCAAATAAATGGATACGTGGAGGGAAGAGTCTAATTTACTTTTGTACTTGAAAAAATACCCTGTTTTATTATCAAATTATACTGTCAATTCTAGCTAGATATAACACATTGTACAACTGATACAAACTGATACAAAAGTTCTTCTAAATCACTCCCCTCTTGTGAATAAATAAAAGGTAATTAAAGTCACTGCTGTAGGTCAGACTCCAATGAATTTATAGTTAACAACTAAATTATTCATATCCTACCCAAGTTTCGTCATTTTAAAAGTACAGTACAGTATGTGAAAATTTGGCTTGTCCCTATTCATGTTTCTTGAGAATGTGACATATTAACACTTACATCTAGAAGTATTCAACAAAGGCCTTAATTTAACTGGTCCACCTTTCTTGAATTACAAAAAACACCAAAAAAAAACAACATTGAATTTACAAGGGGTATATGAAGAATATTCATGTAGTTGTTATTATGCTTGATGAACATTTCAAACCGGTTTGCTCATCTTGATGGTATCGCCTGACCACCGAATTTCTTGAAGGTGAAGTCTACCCGATATAAAATTGGTTTTAATAAAAGCAGAAAAAAGAGAGAACAAATTGGTGAAGGTTTGAGCAAAATCACATTAGTTATAGGTAAGTTATGAATTGTTGAAGTTGTGATCAGTGAAACACAAATCGGCACCACTCTGATATAAATAATTAGAGCCCCTCTCCAATTGCTCGTTACATGAAAATGTATAGAACTTTCATTTTTTCAAGTAATGACGGATTGGATTTATAATTTAATTTCATACAACCCTTACAGGGGTTGTATAAAATCATGTTTAGAAAATATTTATATTCAGGGTGATTTGTATGATTTTTTTTAAAACAGGGCGTATTGGATGGGAGCTTGCAAGATACATCACACAGTAGCCAATTTGTATTTGATTGATCGCACCTTCAAAATTTCATAACTTTCTTAATTTTAATCTCTTTTTGCTCAAACTTTCTCTGACATGTTTCTCTCATTCTCAAAATGAACTCAATATCATGGTGGACTTTCCCGAAAAGACAGACCTAGAAATATTTTCAGAGACTGAGAGCCAACCATTTTAGCTCCTTTGATGTGACATCAGTTCAGAACTTGATGTCTGCATTTTATCCAGTGCTTTTTGTCATTATTCTTACATTGCACATAGATGTTATTATCAGCGAGATCTAATTATAGCCCTTCATGACTTAATGGAACCTATAATTTTTCAGGAGCTATTCTCTACATCACCAATATCCATTGAAACATTTGCACTGTGTGTGTTGTACCCACTGTCTACTCCAGCTCTGGTTACATGAGAGAGTAGGTTTACCGAAATAGGCCTCAGAGGAGTTACGTCCGTTTTGCTGATATCCCCTGAGATGAGTCCTTCTTGCACGTTTGTGTTCAGATAGAGTTTCTGATGTACGTTTAGCCTGGATAGACTACCACGTTCTGTGGCGTGACCTATGTTGGAAGTTTCGTTATGGACGGACATGCTACCTTCTTGCATATCCTCCATTGGATGACTCGGTTGAAAGTCGAAGGAGTTGGATCCTTCTCGCATTTCAGCCCCTTGGAGCGGGTCTGAGGCACTTCTCTGAAAGGGATGGGAGTTATGACCCTGTTGCGCTGCAGCACCAAGTTCGTTCACACCACGTTGGAGCAAACCTGCTGGAGCGGTTCCTGCAGATTCCCTTCCGCCAGGAACCATCTCCTGGAGCTCAGAAGACCTGTGACTCTGCAGATCTGCCTCCGACAACGACGTCATCAGCCAATCCTCTTGCACACTCGTGTTCGCTTTCTCCTCTGCATACTTCCGCAAAGAGTCGTAGCTCCTGCTGGTTGTCATGGAGCACGGAACGGATTTCCTGAAAGACGTTTGCATCGAACAGTCCTCGATCCTCTCATAGAAGTCCACTTCATCAAACCTCGGGTCTTTGGAAGACTCCTGGTGGAACCGTCCTCTGGTTGTGCCGGTGGAATGATCTACCTCTTCGCACGTTTGCACGGTTTCCTTCGTAGAAGAAGCATTTGCAATCAAGGAGACTGAACTGAAGTCCATCGATGGGGTGGCACTTTGGACACCTCTTGCAGGCAGTCCAAAAGGTGGATTGGCGGTTGGCGTGCCGTATCGCATCGTTGATGTCAGGCATGTTGGAGATACCATGGGGCTCTGGAGCGGAAACGATCGTTCTCCTAGAAGTGCCTCACCCTTGAGGGAAGAGGAGTTTGAATCCGCTACCCAGCACGCGCTGGAATGGTCACATGGCTCGTATGGCCTGCAGCAGCTGGAGGTGGCACCGTCCCGGATACTTGAAGTTCTCAAAAACATCTTGAGATTCTCAGGAGGATGCCGAAAGGCACCATCCTCGGCTGAATTGGAAACACAATCGTCCTTACATTCATGTAAAAGGGGTGGATCCATACTGTCCCTTTCTATGATATCCTTCGCAGCCGTTTTCACATACTTTTGTCTAAGCTCATCTCGACTTGACTCTAAATATTCCACTTCCTTGTGAACATCTTCAGTTCCTCTTGATACATTGTCCAATAACTTTGACCCTGCAGCATCTTCTTGAGGACTTGTCCTAAAGACCTTTATCATGTTACCAGGACCATCCGTATCTGCTCCAAGATTCTCTACTCTCTCTGATCGATCACCCTCTGCCTCTTCTTGTCCATCAAAAGAAAAGAGACTGGTTTCCATCAACAGCTCTGTGTTGCTCTCATGCACTCGAGATGATGTGATGGGCAAGGTTTGTCCCAAGATGTGGTGACTACCACTCTCTGCACATCGGATGGGGCTGAACTCTGTCCCGATGTGAAAGGAGACCATCTTGTGGCACCCCTTGGGTCGGAAAGACTGGATCTTGACCCCGTCTTTGGTCTCGTCTGCCCCTGCCCTGACTGGGGAGAGCGGTAGGGAGAGTGGTAGGTCACTAGTCTTTGGGATAGGGCTAAGAGCAGTGCTGGCTTCTAATGAGAAGTCACATGGAATATTCTTTCTTGGTGGACTGCTTGCATGAATGTTCTCCCTCAATTGACCTGTATGCAATGAAAAAAATAAAGTTGATAAAAGTTTTTGAACACATGTCAAATGTTTTACTAGTTAAAGATAAAGTTGAGTTCTGGTCATGCGATTGCATTGTGAAAGAAACGTTGTGGAATCAATCAGAAAAGGTTGATCATAAGTATTGGTGTGTACTGCAAGGTACTGGAATCATCAAAATGATAAGAAGGAAAAACAAAAAACAAAACAAAATTGTTGGGCCCTTATTCACAAAGGAGGTTTAAATTTAGCCCATGGTTCAAACCCTCATTTTCATAACCCATGGTTTAAAATTAGTGCAAATTAAACATAACTTGCCTTGCACGCGTCTAATATTTGACCTCTGACTCTGTCAAGCGTATTTTGCACTAATTTTAGACCATGGGTTAATATGTAAATGAAAGTTTAACCATAGGTTAATTTAAACCTCCTTTGTGATTTTGGGCCGTGGAGTTTCAAAGAGAGGCTTTATGACAATGCCCAGTGACTATTGCTTCACAGTCAATACCATGTACTCAACCCTGAACTGAACACAATGCCTAACCCTATAACCCCAAAACATAACCCAAATGAAAATCCCTTTACAACAAAAAAAAACCTAAAATATGTTCGACAAAAAAAGCCCAAGACTCTTGAGGATGAAGCATATATATATGGTTGAGCTCTTAAAGCCTGTCTGCACTAGTTTGGCCAGGAGGATTAGACCTCCCTGCAAGGTTACTGACAGGTCGTTTATCTCATCAAATCAGCTCTCAATTAACATAAGAAAAAGAGGATCATGGGGGACCAACAGGCACCGATTAGGCATTGTTTGCTGTATAGAGGGAACAAGTAGCTATACGTAGTGCAGTGGGGCTTTAAAGAGTAGATGTTGAAGGTTATTTTAACAAAAAACGAAAACAAGAATATACAAAAGATAACATTGAACAAAACCTACCCCTGTTACTCATGAGACTGGTATCCATACTGCTCTCTTCTTGAGTACCATGTAATCTTGATGAGCAACCTGGTTCATCTAGCGTTGAGATATGGTCACCAATCTTCTGTATAGGGCTCAACTCTCTTGTCAAACCAAGAGTGAAATCCTTCCTTCTTTCCATCAGTTCTTCTCCGACATTTTCATCGAACTCTTCTATCGATCCATGATCAAATTCTTCCTCTCTATCACTCCTATCAAACACTTTCATCAATGATTCCCGTCTTCTGTCCATCTCTCCCTCCCCCTCTCTTTCGTTTTCAGAAATCCCTCTCAGATTGGGTGAGAGTTTTGTCCTTCCCTCCATCCCTTCTTTTTCTTCACCGTCTCTCCCTACATCGGCCATCTGGGGTCTGAATTCTAGAATACCCACTTTGGAAAAACTGGTTTCCATCATGTTCTCAGAAGGCCGTGGTGGTTGGTACAGTGAGGTGCCCTTGATGACTAAGGGTGAGATATGGTCACCGTTACTCAGTGATTCAACAGGGCTGTGTGAAATAGGGCTGGGTGGAAGACCTGCACATAATTAGTAAAAGATGAAAATTATTGTATTTCATTGAACTCTAACACAACTGTTATACCATGGATGATATCAAATGAAATTGAAATACACAGGCTGTGGGAAACTGTGAGTTAAGAAACTATAACACAATTGAATCTGAACTTGCTAACAGAAATTATATTTTTTATTGGTCAGCTTTTAATCACCATGAGTGCTTGTGGTGTATGGGGATGTCTACATGCTTGCCGAGGGTACTGTAATACAGAAATTTGCTTACACTTATTACTGTAACAATACCAAGCAAAAGGTTAAGAAATACAAGTACCTGTACCTTGTGGGACTTCTCTTATGGGTGACATCAAGGGAGATTCCATTTTGCCACAGAGGGGTGATGCTTGGTGTTGCACATGAGGGACTGGTCGAAGTGGAGTGGTCCTGAAACGAGCGATAGGACTGGAAGAAAACTGGCTCTATATAGAAGATAAAAATTGGTTCAAGGAGAAGGAAAGGGTAACAGAATTAATAACTTTATCAAAATAGTTTAAGTGTGGTAATTTTATTCATTGCTCATTATTGCAAGCATAACCATTCATCTATCATTAACGGTTGTATCATCAATATCCTCCTCATTACCACCATCATCTCTGTCACTATTACAATAGTTGTCATCATGACTAGCACCACCAGCATCATAACCACAATGATGGAGGTACCATTACAATCCTAGTCATCATCACCATCACAATCACCATCACCATGATCACCACCACTACTATCGTCATCACCACCACTAACCACCGTAAACATCACCCTTCCTCACCCCAACAGAACTTGGTGTCTTTGGTACATGGCCATACTCCGCAGGACTGCTCTCCTGGCTAGACTTGATAGGTGAGATAGAGGGAGAGAACGGTCCGCTCTCTCTCCTGCTAGTTGATAGAGGGCTGGCGCTGAGAACAATATCATCACCATTACCACCATCACTATCCTCCTTCTCTTTATCTTCACCACCACCACCATCATCACCACCATCATCATTATCATCATCATCACCATCATCACCATCATCACCATCATCATCATCATCATCATCATCATCATCATCATCATCATCCTTACCACCACCACCATCATTATCGCCACTACCATAAAGAACATCACCCCTTTCTCACCTCAACAGAACTTGGTGTCTTTGGTACATGGCCATACTCCGCTGGACTGCACTCCTGGCTAGACTTGATAGGGGAGATGGACGGTGAGAACGGTCCGCTCTCTCTGCTGCTCACCGATAGAGGGCTGGCGGAGGGAAGGCCGTTGGAGCTGGACTCACTCTGGGTGAAGAGCTTGCGTCTCAGGGGAGCCACTGGGAAGGATTCCACGCTGGACTTGGTGTACATAAAGCGACCCTTACCTGTTAATCACACAACATGAAAATCAAACATATTTACTCTTGTATCAAAAATACATGTACATTTTTTTTTTGGGGGGGGGGAGGCGTTCCACAAAGCCTTTTTTCAATGACAAATGACAAAAATCTGTGACAAATCTGCTGATAACCAATCAGAAGCAAGGAGTTCAGTAGCTTATAACAAAAACTGTCATTAGTCACTGATGACAAGTTTTGAGAAACGCCCCCAGGGTCTTGTTTCATAAATCTTGTTATTAACAATAATTCACTAGTTTTTAAAAGCTAGTGTAATCAGTTCTTCAATAAGCATGCAAATTTGTCATAGAAATGGGATAATATTTCACTGATAAGTTTAAAGATACAGGGCCTGGATCAAGATTGCACCCTTTACCACCTGCTGCTACACTTTTACTAGTGAAAGGAGCAATTGCTTGGGGTAAATATATTAAAAACTGCTTAAAGGTAAAGACCAGTATTGGAAACGCCCTTACCCCTAATTTCAAAAAATGAAATGGAGGCTCTCATTACCAATCATGTGAAAGAATATGTTTTGACTAATACATGATGATAAAAAATTTGCAGGGGAAACCGCCTACTAATTCATATATTTGGTAAATTTGTTTCTCTCATGGTCTGTGGGAGATATAGGGTAGTCCCATATACATCTTTCTGTGTATAGTGCTTGTAACTTTACGAAGAATGGGCCAAATTTCTTATCATTTTGATGATTCCAGAACCTTGCAGATGCTAGATGCTAGATGATCAACCTTTTCTGATCGATTCCACAACGTTTCTTTCACAATGCAATCGCATGACCATAACTGGTCTTTACCTTTAAGGCCACCCAAGGAAACAGGAAACTGGCCACTGTAAACAGGTGGCCTTTCTATACAGGTTCTACTACACACATTTGTTCTTAGAGGGAGCCATAAAACATGAAAAGTTAAAAGAAAAGTGGCTGCTACAACTAATTTGACTGTAATTCAATGGTAACACTAATCAAACCGATTTATTTGTAAACTAAATCCCCCCCCCCCCCCCCACCCACTTGCTGTTTATGGAGAACATATTCATCATCATCATTCAGTGTCCTTCTTTATCCTAAGCTTGTGGGGTTGGATGTTTCACATCTATGAAAATATTTTGTAAAAGTTATTCTAAAAAGCATAAAATGTTGATTCCAATTATTCATATTTTCTATTATCAAGGTGATTTCATGCTCTTGATGTGTAAAAAGTCTAAAATACTTGAATTTTTGCTTTTCAAAATATTTTATTTTTAGACTGCAAATGGCTCTCCATAATTTTTAATTCCTACTTAGACTTAAATTTGACTTCAGATCTTTGTGAAACACTCCACAGGTTTTGCGATATCTGCCAAGGTGCTATGAGCCGTCAACCTAGGAATTCATTGCTTTCTAAGCCCTGCTGAAGCTATTAAGATCAATTATTATAAAACCACTAATCATGATATGACTTTTGATAGGCTTATGGTAGAATAGTAATGTGTTTACTTACCGAGAAAGGCCTCTAAATCAAAGTTGAGAGGAAGCGTGATGGCAGTCTGACAACTCACTACAGAAAGAAACAAAAACAATTTCAATTCAATTCAATTCAAATGAGGTTTTATTCAAGACTTGTCAAAAAGTCCAAAGATTAAAAATGCAAGTTTACATCAAACATACAATCATATAAAAAAGCATTAAAAAAAATATATATATAAAGAAAACATAGCAAATGAGAACAAATATATAAAAATGAATAAATGTTTACATCAAAATATCAAAGCAGTAAAAAAAACTTTGGAAGGTATTTTGTTGTAATTCACTGCGGTAAGTCTACATGTACATTAACTCAAAAAGGGGTTGGAGCACCAGAGTCTGCTTGGGAAAACGATTCAAACAGCGGGTTGGGGCACATTTATTTGAAATGTTAAGAAATAGTAATTACAATTTTGACTTACAATATTATATATAATATGTGCTGCGTTACTATTGCGCATGCATATTTTCCCTTGGCAGTGTGGAACTGACGATATACAACATGGGATGAATTGGGTTAGGACGAGGAGTCACCCCCTTTCCCATCAAAGACTCCTTCAAATTATAATTTCAAGTGGTTGAACGGATGCTCAGAGTAGTCGAAAACAACACAAAATTTGTAGATTGCTTCTTGGGATTGCTGAACGAAATATTTATTCTGCTCATTGATTAAAAACTGAATGTCTTCCCCTTGTATGTTCTTTAATTACCCCAGAGATAAATTATACTACAAAAGTACAAAGAAATTAATCAGTGTAGGTTATGTGCTAACTTGAATTAAAAGGTAACCAAGGTAATTTATGTATCTACAGCATTTAGAAACTAAAGCATTACTTTGCAGAGAGAGGCGCGATAGCTCAGTTTGTAGAGCAGTGGTCTAGTAATCCTGTGACCCGGAATTGAAACCAAGTCGATGCGAGTACCCTTTGGTAAGACAATAATCCTCATTACCAGGTGCCTCGGAAAGGACCTAAAGCCGTCGGCCGTCTGGTTGCTTACTTACAAGCATTTATGCTTTCTTAGCAGTCAGGTAAAATAAACACCACCACCCAAGTGTAAAAATATATTGATATAATTACAGTCAAACCTGTCTACAGCGACCGCCCAAAGGAAACACAAAAAGTGGTCTCGGTAGACAGGTGGACTTTGTGGACAGGTTCCTTTAGTACATGTTTCAATGAGAAACCATTTTCAAAGGAAACAAAAAATGTGGTCCTTGTAGACAGGTGGTCTTTGTAGACAGGTGGTCACTAAAGCAGGTTTGACTGTACAATGCAATATCTTCTTCATATTGTTTTCTTACCATCGCATTTCCCAGATACATTTCCAAGGAAGGATCCATTCGTTGACGAGCAGACAGAATTCTCAGCAGAGTGCTCACTCAGTACTGAAAGAATTGTTGAAGAAGGGGGAAGATATGAATTGAATTCTTAAATTGAACTGGTTTATTGATGAAAAGAAAATACATTTAAATTAGCAGCCAAATTTAAAACAAATTGAATTTACGAAAGATCAAAGAATACATCGAACAACAATTCATTGAGAATTTGTTCAATAAAATACAGTAGTATGCATATATGTACATGTACCGTATATAGGAATAATATTGCACAAAGAAAATCAACAAGGAAATGGAAAAAGACAGAAGTGAAAAAGACAGACAAGATAAAGCTTGTGAAAGAAGAGGTGAAGTGATCAAAATAGTTCAACGCAGAACAATTCCAAATTATGTTTACACAGGTATGAGAGCTAAAATATATGACTGGTTTTGAGAATAATATGACTGCTAACTGATGGAGGTTACACGATACAAACAGCTTCAAGTACTTTACACACACATAAAACGTGATTTGAAATGTTGAATCGCTCATACTTACTGCCAACTGATGGAGGTTTAGGTGAGAACGTGACTTGCTCGATAGGTTTAGACTGAGACCATGGAGATCTACACAATCTGAACAGCTTCAAGTACTTAATGAACACATAAAATGTGATTTGAAACGTTGAATCGCTCATACTTACTGCTAACTGATGGAGGTTTAGGTGAGAACGTGACTTGCTTCATGGGTTTAGACTGAGACCATGGTGATGGGACTACTACTTTCTGAGAGAAAAACTGTAAAATGGGAGAAAAAGAAGTGAATAATGAACGTTTCACTTCATCATAGCTCTCTTTGAAGTCAGAGTAGCACGATTGTATGTCAGACAGAAATATTTGAGGTAAGGTCAATCAAACATACCGTGTACAGCAAATTGATTAGAAGGCAAGCAGAAAGAATAAGAGACACGGGTTGGTAAACGTTTAAACAAAACTGATTAACATGAAATTTATGAATTTTAAAGATATATGTAGCAGTTCACAACAATAGTTTGAAAGTAGCAAAACAGGAATCATTCCTCCAAAATAAGAATAGATGACAATTGATTGTTGTCCCCCCCCCCCCCCCACTACCCTAAAGTAAGTTTACTCCACTTCATGGGTAAAATAATTCATTCACTAATTGCAAAAATTGGATAAGGCCTAGAGATACCATACACATCAACCTTTCACAGCATAAATTAGCAATCACTCCAGGGAAAATTAGGAATACAATCTATTTTCTTTACTCTTTCACATATAATATTTCAGAAAAAGATAGGAATCTAGGGTTCGAAACAATAGCTTGAAGGCCAAAAAACAGGAATCATTCCTCCAAAATAGAAATTGTCGGGAGCTATGAGATGCTTGAACTGACTAAACTGATTTATGGCCAGCAAAAGAATCTAGGTTTCAAAACAACAGCTTTAAGCCCCCAAAATAGGAATCATTCATCCAAAATATTAAATATGAAAATTGTTGGGAACTATGAGATGCGTTTGACTAACCTGATTTATAGCCTCCTGTACTTGCTCCTCTTTCTCTTTCGGGATGAAGGATGCGTCCTGTTGCTGTGGTAACTCGTCAATATCAGCCGGGTAGAGCAGGGACATCTGATCGATGGACCAGCGGAATCCACTCTTCTGTTTTCAATACAGTGGGAAAACAAGCCATAGAATACCAAGTTAAATACTTGTATTGAATGAAGACAACAATTGTACTTCAGAATCCATAATGATTTTTGTTAGTGTATCCGGTCTGGTCCAGATTTCAAAATAATGTGTGTCATTCTCAGGATTCTTTTTTCCACTTTCTATTTATCAAGAAAATTTCTTGCGAAATTTGTTCTTGTACAAATTTTGATCGGGAAAAAGAAAGGGAAAGAAAAATTCTGAGCCATTTCAGCAACATTCATGACAGTTGATGACAGTTGAATATCTTTTAAAAAATTTTTTTGACAAGGATGAAAGTAACATTTTTTCAAATCGTTAATGGAGACCTAATACTAATGTTGACAGTGGTGGCTTCTTGCATAGTGCACATGTTCGACATGTTGTGATGCTCCTACATTATTACCCTGGTCATAGTTGGCGGCCAAATATGTAAGCCCTCTGGCATATCCGGTTAAGTACCCATTTAAACCTGGGTGGAGATTGACAAAGGTCAATTATTGTCTTGCCAATGGGTGTTAGTGCCAGGCTGGGATTTAAACCCCCAACCCTTGAATTGAGAATCAAATGAATGAACCACTATACCATGTCACCTCCACATGTCTGTGCAGTGGGCACATCAGGCCCCTGTTTAAATTTTTGAGGTCGTAATTCTAATCGTGTTAGAATGGATCGGACAACTGCGCTTCTTGTTATATGCTATGTAAATCATGTTTAAACTTTGGTGGCCCACCTTATTCGGAACAATACCCCACCACGAAACTTGACAAAACGTTTGTAGGGTAGTACTACCAAAAACTTCACCAATGAAGCTAAATCTCAGGACTTAAGCTTTTTAAGTAACACTAAACCTAATCCTAACCCTAACTCTAACCCTATCCCTCGGTCTTTGTCATTTTACATTAACCCTATTGGTGGGGTATTCTACAGTTAAGCCCATTAAGGATTGATGCATCTGAACACATCCTGTAGTTTCTACATAAAATCACCTTCTTGCTGCAGGGTGTGTCCTGACTGGGCTTGAACACCGATGGGCTGAACGCAGGGAGATGCATGCTGTCCAGGCTCACAGTGTCGAATGGATTCACAGTCAGGTTCGCTGATGATGTCATCGACAGAAGCCCCTCCTCCTCTTCCGCCATTGCGATGACGGATCAATGAAAAGTTCAGGAGCAAATTGGACTGGAGACAAGACTTCGACCTGAAAAGAGACAAAGAGCATGAGCAAGGTGGGTCACTCACATTTACATTTTGTTTAAAATAAACTTTATATCAAGATCATGATGATCATGCATCACTCTTCACTGTGACCAGTAGGGGTGCTGGTCAGAGAATGAGGATCGCCCTCATAAACGAGGATATCTTCATGAAGGCAGACAAAATGTGTCCTCAACAGCGCTCAAAATACACGGGGGCGGTGGGCGATTCGCCCCCGTGAACTCCATAATCGCCCCGGTCAGGTTGCTTACGGGGGCGATTGCAAAATTAAAAATCGCCCCCGTGGAATTATAAAATAAAGATTATCTTTTCTGATATAACTTTAACACAATATTGAGTATCAATTTTCAAACTTTAAACCAATGAAATGGAACTTAGATGGCGCTTTCTCTCCCATCTCTATGAGTATTACCAATGCAAATGACAGAAGCTCGCAGTGCAGCTAATGCGGTCGTCAGCAGTGGCTATACTGCTCCGGTAGTACCGGTGTGCACGCTGACGCCCAATATCTGTTGGAGCTGGAGAGGATCGCGCAAGGAATAAAACATGGAGAATTTTTTAGTTGTGAAACGTGTGAATCCTCTGAAATCTGTTTTTTCTAAAAGACCAGCAAATAATGAAACTCGACCAGTAAATCAATATTAAGAAGAAGAAGATCACTAAAGATGTTGCAGGGGCGGATCTAGAGGGTTTAGGGGGTTAAACCCCCCCCCCCCCAGGAAAACATCACTTTTAATACGAGGGTTCAAAATAGCAACAACAAAAATCGCCTCGCCGCTACGCGGCTCGTGGACGATGCTCCACATCGTATTTGGGTTACCCCCCACCACCCTAAGCAAAGAGCTAGATCCGCCCCTGTGTTTTGGAAGGATATGGTAAAGACTAAAAGTAAAGAAAGGATGTACATGTAAATAAGGTTGCTCCCAATAATGAAGAGGAAGAAAGGAGAGAATGTCATTACGGGGATAAAAGTCAATAACAGCTATGAAACAAGTAAATTTCTAAGAGGGAAAATGACGACTTAAATAAATGATAATGATCAAATACCAAGGAATTTAGGAGTTTCATGGGTACCAATTCAATGGAAATTTGTATTAAAATATGAGCCCCCGTCAGCACTAAAAGAGCCCCATGAGAAGGCTCACAGGGGCTCTTTTATTTTTGGAAGAGCCCCCGTGGACAAAAAATTAATTTGGGCCCTGGTCCTCACAAAATAAGGATTGTCTGCATTTTCGTGAACATTTTTTTTATCTGCTTTGCGGGTTTTGGATTAACAGTTAGGTCCTACTAAACCGCCCGCTGGGGATGCGAAAAATGGATTTATAGGTTGTCCGTCTTCCCAAGGATTTATCGCCCATAGATCTAAATAGAATCTATGTGAAAGTCTCTGTAGATCTACGAAGACGAGTAAAAAAATGTAAAAATCATCGCGGAATTCCTTTTTTCGCATCGCCAACATGCCGATCCAAAATATGAAACGTTTGCGAAAAAAGAGTACAAGAAGATAGACCTGGAAGCTCGACTGCTGTTTCAGCATTCTTCCAGATTTTGCGGAAAAGGTAAAGAAATGTAAAATGCGGACGATCGTTATTCTCGGACCAGCGCCGCGCCCTGGGCCTGGCTGGCATGCTACATGTACGCCTGCGCCTGCAGCAGCGGCAGTGCTGGTTCCAACCGTTCCGTCGATCAGTTTTTGTCACCTCCTTATCAAATGCACCCCAACCGGCCCAAGCCCAAACCCAAACCCGTGTAATATCACTAAATTGATTGAATTTTCTTTCTTGACGTGATCCGAGGTATAAAGCACACTCACAGCATTTATAACAACCTCACAAAATTATAAATTAAATCATGTCAACAATAGAAAATAAGTTATTTACCATCCGTTGTTTACCTCTCCGATACAGTTATTTTGAAAGCGGCGCTGAATATTGAAACGTTTACTACTCGTAGAGGGCAGCACACAAATATCCAATCTAAAGAAACGGAGCACAAAATCCGCTGCGAAATTTGACATTTTAAAATCTCCACGTAAGGCAATGGAAGAGAAAATTGGATCAATACCTGTAGCATCTGCTAGAGAAGCGCTAGATAGTGAGTGTCGTTCAATTTAGAATGTAAAATCGTGTGAAATTTTAAAGCAATTGTGTGACGAATTGCTGTAATTCAGGACCCTTCTGCTGATCATTTTTCGGCCGGGTCTAGCGGCGTCATCTTGAGTTAGATCTTGTGCATGTTTACCACTCCATAGCTCCAGTGCTGGTTTGATTTTGAGTTTTGACTAGGAAATAGGCTCCAACCCCCAAAATAGACGTTTAAATTAAAAAAAATAATAATTACGTGAGTGAATGGGCAATATTTGCTTAAAAGATGAAATCTGTTTTTGGAGATTGTGAAATGATTTTTCTTCGGCCCCAGATTTGCCAGAAATGAGAATGAATGAGAAAACGATGCGATGTACAAATTCAGAAACATCATCATCACTCCATCATTCATGAACAAAGTGTCTTGTCCTGGTAAGGGGCTTAGTTTGGGCCTGGGCCTTGATTGATCCTAGAGGCAAGACTCGGGTCAAGTCCTAGACATACTAGATTCTAGACCCTCTAGACTAATTCTTAAAGTTAATGCATTATAAAAAAAGCCGTTAACTTAACTCTTATCGCGCCACAGGGCTAATCCCCATTGTGCCAGGTTTTTTCGGAGATAATCTGATTAACGCGATGGTTCTACGAATGGCGAGTGCAAAACACACAGCATAGCCCAATGAGCATGAACAATAACTGCTATTACGAAAGCGCCCTTGCACGCACATGGCACTCAATAGGTAGCGTGCATGCAGCCTCATGGCAGGCTATGAGTTAAAGGTATTACAAAGTTTTGGTATGGGGTCATGAATTTGGTTCAAATAAACATATTGGAAGCCTATGCGATGCTACAATATTCAGTGATCGTTGTCGCGGTTGAAATCGAGTCTTGAGTTATGAAATTGTAAGTAATAAACTCTTTGTGTTGTATAGCTCCCTCTCAAGGTCAAGATATTAAGATATAAAAGAATGTTTATGGACAAAAATCGACCAATTAGCTATTCCCGTTTGAAAATGATATATCCCAACTACATATTGTGAGATTTCCATGGTCGTAGCTACCATTAAACAGCCGTAGGTGCTATTTGAAATTTATCAAAATTTACCGGGAGTACCGGTAAATTTTGATTTTCAATTTTTCTCGAAAATAGAAGTGTTTTAGGGGCTAATTTTTTTAGTGTTTATAAAACATCCACAGGGGCATCTAAATATATCAAAATTGTAACGAATCACTATCCACCCAATTTTCAAAATTTCCCAAAACTTTGTATTACTTAACGCTTAAATATTATTAACTCGCTTGTTATTGTTGAGTTTTTGTTTCTATGGGATGGAAATGGAATCCGATGGATATGCCAATAATGTATTGAAGTTTATAGTATCACAATAATTAACAAAACTTCACTGTAATTTCTTTGACAATTTGTAGCTGTGAATCAGATATCTGAGCTGCTGGAGACGGGGCTTGACTCTGAGACCTTGACGATCTGTGTGCACCTGTGTGAGCTAGGCGTCAACCCTGAGGCTCTCGCATCGGTTGTCAAGGAACTAAGAAGAGAGATGGGGGCTTATAAGGTAAATATTATGAGTGAAAAACACCTTCTTCTTTTTTGCATTTATGCAAATTTCTTGTTTTATCTAAAGGAGTATCTCCAACTGAAAACAAAAAATTATTGTTTCCTGGGGTGTATAAGGTAAACCATCTCATGGGTGACCACAAAGCGCCATTTGTTTTTTAATTTATTGGACTTCTTGTTTATTTGCAACATAGAACTGAAATTACAATTTCTTATTCTTGTTTCCTTTTCTTTAGAAAAAGAAGGAAAAAAAATGTTTTCTTTGTTTGTTAACTTTGATGATCTTAAAAATAATATGTCCCAAATGGTCACTGATCAACAGATCAAGTGAAATTAACACAAATCATAGCATTAAAATGCAAATATTATATCTTTTCAAAATGAACAAATCTTTGTTTATCATTTGGTTTGTGCCCGAGTGAGAGTTTGAAAAAACAACACTATTATTTATTTATTTAGCTAAAATAATGTACCGATTTGAGCTTTTATAACGTGTCAAAATAGTAGTGAATTTCATCATGATTGTTTTTCAAATAAAACTAAATTTGAATGAACATGAAATTTGATTTCACACTTTTTTACCAAAATAATGAATAAATATTTGTTCATTTTTAAAATATAAACATGTATTTATGTTATGTTAATAATGCTGTTGTCTTGTATGCTCTACAGTTTTTCTTTCATTTTCATTTTTTCATTTTCATTTTGCAGGCATCTGTTGAACAAGGGTAGTGCCTCAGACATACGCAACATTTATTGATAATAAAGACTGAAAGCGCTACATCCTGTCCAACTAAATGACCCTCGACCTGCAGGTGATAATGGTGGAATGGATTTTGTTTGGGAGACACAGGAAATAAGAGATCTGAACATCAGAGTCGAGAAACATACTGATGAGGAGTAATTGTTTCAGACTTTTTTTTTGAAGATGCAAATCCAAGGAGAATGAGGATCATACAGGATTCATGCTCAGCCTAGGCATGCCTCCCTCCCCAACTCCTACCCCCTCTTGTTTTGTAAATTTGGATGTGCCTTTGACAAGATGAATGTGACGATTAGCATGTCCATTTTGTGTGACAGCCCCATTAAAAAGAAAATTATGTGCATTGTAATAATATATAAAATAAAAGAAAGTTTATCTAGCATCCTGTTGGCTAATAGATAATGAGTAATTTAGTATGGACAAAAATAAAGAGTATCATAAACCCAGCGCATGGGACCCAATTGGAACCCGGGTTACATGCGACTGCATACAATTACAATGTATCAAGTAGTCTACTCATGACTCCTGAGTTGCATTTATATTGAGAGGGTATTCAAACTTGCTCTCTTTACAGAAGTAATATATGAGCTTCATATAATATAGTGATATGGAACCCCTAACATGCTAAGCCAAATATTTTAAGATAATTTATTTTTATTTTAAGGTTAACCATGCCGAGTGTAGGCTTAAATGAGACCAGTTGATCTGCATACAGGTGTTTGTAGAAAATATTTGTTCATTCTGTAAATGTTGTACATTATTGTAAATAAAATTTGTGAAGATCTTTGACAAGAAAAACTTCAAAAATACAATTGTGCAGTTTATGTGCTCTTGAAATTTGTTCAAATGGTTGAAAATAGAAGTGGAATATGAAAGAGATTTGATATACATGTAGGACAATGGAATTGTATTTCTGGGCACTATCCTGAAAACGATGTTATCTTTTATGTTACAAAAATGATGGTGATTGTCGTACCAAATCAAAATAGGATAATAATTCTTTGGTTAATGTCTGCGCAACGCTGGCTTCGTGCACGATAAAAGAGACATCTGTCGACGGTCTGTGCAAGAACCAGTGATCAGTGCCAGTTGCTGTTTATGATAATTAACGTCATTTTTTCCCCCAACACCATTTTGAGCATACAGCCCCTGGATATTTTTTTTTTTTTAAATGAAAACGCTCTCTGCATCATCCTGTCATTTCAGACAAAACCAATATTGTTTCCAGGAGATTATTAAATGCGGGTAGGTTGAATAGAGAGTGTGGAGATAGTGTGTGAGAGGGGGAGAGAATGAGAGAGACAAGTGAGAAAGAAAGAGCGAGAGAGAGAGCAGAGAGAAGGACAAAGAAGAGAGAAATAATGAGATGAGAGAGAAGAGTGAGAGAAAGAGGAGAGAATGAGAGAGAGGTGGGATAGAATGTAGGGAGAGATTGTGTAGAGAGAGTAATATTGATGAGAGATGTGAAAGATACAAAAATCAAGAGAGAGGGTGGTGGAGAAAAGAGAAATGGGGAATGATAAACGCTTTTTATTTAAGTATGGCAGCCATGCTTTAGCCAAGGTTATAATTGTTTTCATAGATAAAATGTTACACCACCTGATTATATGGAAAAATATCACACACAAATTTCTCGCTGCTTCAAAGCATGACTACCGTTGCAAAAGTAGAAACTTTTTAATGACATTGCCTCAGAAAAAAAGCCCCATACCGGTAATCAAAACACAATATCCAATATTAACGCCTTTAGTGTCAATTTACTTGAAAAAGAATTTTCCACTCAATAAAATCAAAACAAAACAAAAACAATGATATGTTGTATAATTTCAAGATCTCCATTGTTGTGATCTTGTAAGGCTACCGGTACCTTGTTTAATAACAAAATTGTCTGATATAAATATATCTTTATTGTAAATCAAATCAATTTCACAATCTTAATCGTGAACAAATACTGTCCAATTAATACAACTGCTTTGCTGTAATCCTTGGGAGCGATAACATTGACTTTGTTTGCTATTTCCTTCATAAGGCCTTCCATACTCTATAAAATGCTCACAAATAGCAGTACTGTACTTTACAGTAGCAATATTCCACATTCTAGAAATCAAATATTTAAGGCTTATTCAGATATGTTGCTGTAACCTGACACAACAAAAAATTAAAACGGTCTTGTTGAAAAAAAAACTTGTAAATGAAAGGAATATTCACTGAGCTTTGTGTGAAAAAATACAGAAATGTGAAAGCGTATCATTACAATGAAAAAATGCAGGGCAGTTTAGCTGCATCATATCTGGAGGAGCCTTTAGTGATCCTTAAAAATACAAAAATACTGCATCACTTCAGATTTGTTGATAAACTGCAATCCTGGAACAACATTCATAGACTGAATAGCACACACTTTCTCACGTTCCGAGTCCTTATTGAGGTTTTCAGTCCTTTATTTCTCCTCCGTAATTCTGCACAGTGTTCATGGACCACATTTCATCTACAATAATAATAATAATAGCTCGTTCTTATATAGCGCTTTTCAGGACCGGAGGCCCTCTCAAAGCGCTTTACAGATAAGTATATTATTACCCCGGTCATTGGATTCAGGCTTACCCGCACACACCATATGCACATTCTCCACTCCCTGGGGAGCATTCCAGCCAGGCGTCATTTTTACAAGCGCACACTTGCTAATCTAACCACATTAGCTTTCGCATCCTACCGGGTACCCATTTAACACCTGGGTGGAGAGTGGCAAATGTAGATCAATGTCTTGCCAAAGGACATTAGTGCTGCGGCGGGACTTGAACCATGGACCTTGTGATCCACAGTCCGGTGACTTATCCACTCATCCACAACACCTCTACAATGTCCTCCCGCACCTATCTCTCCGCATCTCATCTTGTGTGCTTCTTCAACTTTAATTTTGGTACAATGTGCAGAGACTGAAGTTCAAGACATACAATGTATCTGTCTTTTGCTCTCACTCTGTGTATTTCTTGAGCCGTAATTTTGGTATGATGTTCATCGACTGGAGTTCCTGACAGAGCAGTTTGCTAATGTGTACTGTCTTCCTTCATCTTATTATGTTGTTAGTCCTAGACTAATTAAAGGGGGTGCAGCATGGCAAAAACTGGTTAACGCCATCTACAACTTCTTTTGGACAACTGCACGTAACCGAATGGAATTGATTAAAATTAAAACAGACCAAGTTCTCCTCACGCTTCGGTTTCGCGTATGTTGCACGCACAATACTGCGGTCGCGTCGTCCATATTTGTATTATAACCGATTGTCCCCAAGTTGGGCCACAGGAAAGACATGTAGTCTTGTCATGCTACAGCCCCTTTAATAGTCTCCACCAATGCTCGTGTACTACTCAAGATTTACAAAGTCTTTTATCTTTAGTATCTCTTTTGCTGATCTCACTCTGTGTATTTCTTGAGCCGTAATCTTGGTATGATGTTCATAGACTGGAGTTCTTGGAAGAGCAGCTTGCATGCATATGGTATCCTCAACGAGGAGATGTTCTGAGAGCAATGGCAATACGGGCACCTGAGCAAAATGAGACAATGTTTAATAAGCTGTTATCATTTGAATTCTTAAATTTCTATACTCATAACATGAATTTTCATAACAAAGCATTAAAGGCATTGTTTAACAATGTTTCCAGTTTTACAAATCTGAGATGCATGGCCCTAATTGTTATCAGTGTCTATGATATCATGGTGTAATATTAAATCCCTAAAAAAAATTGCGCCTCAAAAGAGTACACATTTTTGAGAGACCGGTTTTACCATACTCATTTTCCCTAATAGACTGTAGTGTTACAAAAACCATTGGGAATTCCAATCATAAATATCTTGATAATCAGACAAGCGATAGGGTTGTAAAAGTCATGGGATTCCTGACTGGCCTAAAGGTTTATAAGGCTTCAATATTACACCATATCATAGACACTGATAACACATAGTGCCATGCATCTCAGATTTAACATTGTTAAACGATGCCTTTAAATCTTTGTCTATAAAGGCCATGCAAGGAAAACTCAGATTTGTAAAACTGGAAACATTGTAAACAATTCATTTACAGATAATGACTCAATTAGTAGAGAATGTGTCACAAAACCTATTGCCGTTATTACTTTTGTATAGGTGATTTCTCTTGCTTTAAATCCTAACTACACTAGTTTGGCCAGGAGGGATTAGACCTCCCTGCGTGGTCACTGGCAGGTGGTTATCTCATCAACGCAGCTCTCAATTAACATAAGAAAAAGAGGACCATGGAGGACCAATGGTCACCGATTAGACATTGTTTTCTATATAGAGGGAGCAAGTAGCTGCAAGTAGTACAGTCCTGCTTAAACTCACCATCCCGAATGACCGATAAGCCCGCAGTCTCCGCACACATCCACCTGGAACTGGTCGCTGGAGATCATAAGACGCTCCAGGAGCAGCATGCTGGCTCCGTAGCCAATCAGACAGTCACGTTCCATCTCACCCAATCGCAAGCCTCCATCCCTGTCATGTGACAATGATAATGAATGTGTGAAGATTATTAGTTGTGAAAGTAAAGAACAAGCTAAATTTTCATTTCTTACAAAGGACTTTCAGATGACTGTAAAATATCACACATGCTATCTGAATGATTATTTTGAATGCTTGCCAAGCAAAAGTCTGCAAAAGGGACTTCCTGCTTTTAATGTTTACTAGACTACCAGCCCTTGGATACTTCATATTAAAGGGAAAGCCCCTTGAAACAGATGTACAGGCATAATAATGATTATAATAATCATCTGGATTTATAAAATGCTGAATACGAAATACCATCTCTAAGCACTTTATAGATATTATCATCCAAGATGTTGAATTCATTACACACTGTAATGTGCACCATCTCCACTCCCTGCTGAGTATTCCTACCATATGGTCACCATGGGGGCATATGTCAATTACTAACACAAAGGCTTTTTTCATTGTACCAGGTCCCCATTTCTCTCTTCGGCATGTAGTGGCAAATGTAGATCAATCCTGTGCTAAAGGGCATTGGTGCTGTGTCGGGGATTGATCCCACGACCTTTGCTTAAACCACTCGACTACGACACCTCAACGACTCCTACACAATCAGGCATACATAATCTGACAAACAAAATGACTCACACTAAAATAAATACAATATATAAATATCTCCCTTACCTAGCTCTTCCTTCTGTAGGTTGTCTGGTCAGTACAGCTCTTGGTCCTTTGGCTCTGGCGTGCATCTTGTCCAAGACCATGTGCTTCAACTTCTGGTAGTAGACAGGTCCGAAGTAGATGTACGCTGTCAGAGGCTCTCTGTAGGTGTATGCAAGCAAAGTTTCATTTCATTTTTCTAATTTTATTTAGAGCCCCACTGTCCTACTTGTAGCTACATAGTACTTGCTCCCTTTATGTAGAAAACGTCCCCAATCGGTGCCTGGTGGTCTCCCATGATTCTCTTTTTCTTATGTTAGTTGAGAGCTGAGTTAATGAGATAGCCACCTGTCAGTGACCTTGCTGTGTGGTCTTATCCATTCTGGCCCAGTAGTATTGACGGTCTTTGAGACCAGGGGAGCGTTTCACAAAGACTACGATCGACTTTAAGTTGGACTATCTATGGCAGGCCATTCATGCCACTAGTTGCCCATACCATTGGTCTCTCAATTTAATTATGATCTTTAGATAATATATTTTCCTTCAATAATGAACTATCAACAAATGTAAATCCTGTAGATTTTTTACCATGATTTGTACGTCCCTTGAGAGACCAATGCCAGTAAATGGTGAAAGCAAACAGTGGCATGAACAGCCTGTCATAGTTAAGTCCAACTTAAAGTCGATCTTAGTCTTTGTGAAACACCCCCCCCCCCCCAGGGGTCCTACCCCAGCCTGAGGAATGTTCTTTTCTTAGGGTGGCGAGTAAATTTAAAAACAGAACACACAACATTAAGATAACTTATATACAAAAATAATATTAATGAATGAAATATTTACAAGAACAAACATGTAAATAATAAGGGAAAACAAGAGAAGAAAATAAAAGAAGAAAAAAGAAGAAAACAAATACTGCACTCCTGAATGTCTCTTGATTCCATGTACTTATTCAGGTTACGATAGAAAATCACACAGGATTGAGTTCCAACATTTAGCACCAAAATAGCTGAAACTGTTTTTCTTAAAACATGTTCTTAATTTCGGCAATGAAAGATTGTTAGTTGATGCAAAGCAAATGAAATCTGACAAGAGTATGTCTCTGAATGCATTTCCTTACCCTGTAATACCAGATGTTAGGAAGTCCTTGCCAAGATAGTTAAAACCATGCTTCCTCAGATCCTCGCAGATGTCGACAACCTTGTCTCCTCCAAAAGCTGCATTGGAAGAAAGAGGACGTACATTTAATAATATTATCAATCGGATCGTGAGATAATGAGCCAGTTCACAGATACTATCTCACATGAGAAAACAAAGGTTAATTCTTCCATAACCCTTTCAGGACAAGATTTATTTTTAGGGCTTGATTAATTACCACCTGTTCTTTGAATTGGGAACAATAATATTTTTCCTTTATTTTCCTCCCGCTGTAATCCATAGCGGTTTACTACAGATTACATAAATAAACCTTTCAAAAGGTTAATTGTTTGCTTACCTGTGCCGTAATGAAACTTTCCTTCCAGTACACCCGCCTTGCCTGCCAGGAACTCAATGAGCTTGCCCACTGTCATACGGGAGGGGAAACCATGAGGGTTCATGATCTGAGGGACAGAGAAGTGACAAAAATATTTCCATACTATACTTTCTTCACAGCAAACAATATTCAAATGATCGTTTTATCCATTGACTGTGGTAGTGAAAGTTACAATGCAAAACGCTTAGATATTAAATAGTCTTCTTCTTTTTCTTCTCCTTCTTTCTTGTCCTTGTCCTTCTCATCCTCCTCTTTTTTTCTCCTTCTCCTTCTTTTTCTTCTGCTTCTTCATTCATCGCTATTTCCTATTGGAATAAGATTTCTATTCAAATTGTTAGTTATGAATATCCGATGTGAAATAAAGACCTGGGGGGTGTTTCACAAAGATCCGAAGTAGAACTTAACTCTAAGTTGGACTTAAAAATTATGGACAGCCATTGGAGTCTTAAAATGAAATATATTCAAAAGCAGAAATTCAAGTATTTTAGACTTGTTATAAATTCCACATCCAGAACATGAAATCTCCTTGATGATAGAAAATATGAATGATTTGAATAAACAATTAATGCCTTTCAAAATAACTTTTACAAAATATTTTCAAAAATGCTAATGGCTTTCCATAATTGTTAAGTCCAACTTAGAGATAAGTTCTACTTAGGATCTTTGTGACACACCCCCCTGGATAAACTTCCACAATTGACTCTTTCTTCTTTGGAAAGCAATTACCAGAAGGGAAGAGATAAACAGTAAGACAAGACAGAAAAAAGAAAGGAGAGAGAAAGACGAGAAAGAAAAGGTGATGAGAGGACATATCATGGGGAAGGAGCTTTATCAATCGGAAATAAATATCTCTTCAATAAACTTGAGTGTAATTGATGTGCTGTACACTAGCTTGAAAAGAGTGATAATTGGCAGAGGTATGGATGATTTCATAATGAAACTTACGATATCTGGACAGATCCCCCTCTCATCAAATGGCATGTCTTCTTGTTGAACGATAAGACCACACACTCTGGAGAGAGAAAATGAAAGAAGTAGTGTGATGAATGTATAATTCCTCGTTATAATTACGAATGGCACCATAATTATAGTTTGACATTGAATTCATCATTGTCATCGTATTAATGATCATCAACATTACAATCATCATGATCATCATCACCATCCGCCCCTTCGTCCTGCTCTTGTTCTTCCTCATCATCATCATCACAAGCACCATCCTAATCACCACCACCACCACCACCACCACCACCACCACCACCACCCCCATCCCCCATCTTACCCCTTCTGTCCATGCCTGCTGCTGAACTTGTCTCCAATCTCCGGTCTCCTCGTCTGCCTCAGGAGAACCTTGAAGAGAAATGCTTCTTCCGGGTTAGATGTGACCAAGACCTTCTCAATGTAGGAGTCGGCAGTTCCCTTGTACCTACAGGATGAGAAGAAAATTTATCAGAAGATCTGGGGGGGGGGGGGGGCTTTTCACAACACTTGTCGTCAGTGACAAATGACATTTTTTGTTTATAAGCTACTGAAATCCTTGCTTCTGATTGGTTATCAACAGATTTGTCACTGATTTTTGTCATTTGTCATTGAAAAAAGGCTTTGTGACATTGATAACATGTAGGGCTGTGAATCTCAGATTTAACATTGTTAAACGATCCCTTTAACCACAACGATTAACACCGTTATCAAACAAAGGCCAATCAATGAGATCCTGGACTTACGTGATTGGGACCTCTCTGTAGTCATGTTGCTGAGGCTGGTTGGTTGGGCTGGCTTGAAGAGGATTCATGTTGACCACTGGCATAGACTTATTGAGCAAGACCTGTTTGTTGATCACTCTCTCTCCTACATGGAGGAACAAATTCAAAGACCACTTGATATGCATGTTATTTTTCCCTATAAAACATACTTTGTATTGATACTTAAAAGGGTTCCACTGGAATTAGTATGATATATTTCATTAAAAGCTTGGAACCACTTGTTCCTAGAAAGAAAAATAAATTCTAGAGACTCATTGCTAGTTGTGGGCCTGAAGATTACTTTAAAAAAGTATGAGACGTCAGAGTGTTGCATCTTCTACTTAACCTATTCAGCCAATTGACCCACAGCCAAATTTTGTGAAGGACACTCACAACAATGTGGCTGTTGAGGTTTTCGGTCTGCAGTAAGTAAGGACTGAAGAGGGAGAAGGTGAAGGTGAACAATCAAGAAGGAAAGCTCCTTTTAACACAATAAATGATGCCACATATTGAGCCTTACTAACCCCTTCCATTATAAAAGCCCCCTCCCCCTCAAAAAAAAAAAAAAAAAAATTAAAAAAAAATGAAATAAACTAGATAGAACTCGAAAATGATGCCTCCGTCATAGAGCAATTTTACAAACCAAAATAGAAGAAATTTTTCAAATTCAAGTTCAATTGTAATCCTGTAACAGGTTCTCAGAATATCGTGATTACAAGCAATTTCTCATATACATATATGACCTTTTGATCTTTGACCTCATGACCCTAAAATCTACTCAGTTCATTGGCTCTGCAAGATGTCCTGAGTTAAATAGTAATCCATCTGTCAGTTCTAATGAGAAAGTGTTCACAAGCTAATTTTGCATACATGAGCCCATGACCTTTGACCTTATGACCCAAGAATCTACTCAGTTCATTGGCTCTGCAAGATGTCCCGAGTTAAATAGTAATACATCAATCTGTTCTAATGATAATGCGATAACAAGCTATTTTTGCATACATAATGAGCCGCGTGACCTTTGACCTTGACCTAATGACCCCAAAATCTTATCAGTTCATCGGCTCTGCAAGTAACATACATGACCTAAGTTTGGCAGGAATCCATCAATCGGTTCTTCAGATAACGCGATCACGAGCTGTTTTTCATACATAATGAGCCCTGTGACCTTTGACCTCATGACCCCAAAATCTAATCAGTTCATTGGCTCTGCAAGATACATACATGACTTAAGTATGGCAGGAATCCATTAATCGGTTCTTCAGATAATGCGATAACAAGCTATTTTTGCATACATAATGAGCCGCATGACCTTTGACCTCGTGACCCCAAAATCTAATCAGTTCATTGGCTCTGCAAGATACATACATGACTAAAGTATGGCAGGAATCCATCAATCGGTTCTTCAGATAACGCGATCACAAGCTGTTTTTTTCATACATAATGAGCCGCATGACCTTTGACCTCGTGACCCCAAAATCTAATCAGTTCATCGGCTCTGCAAGATTCATACATGATCAAAGTTTGGCAGGAATCCATCACTCGGTTTTTCAGATAACGCGATCGAGAGAACGGGACGTACGGACGGACATCCCGAAAACATAATGCCTCCGGCTACTTCGTAACGGAAGCATAAAAAAACACACACTCAAAACAAAACAAGACAAAAAAACAACAACAACAACGTCTGTCCTACCTGGAGCACAAACTCCATCTGCATCCAGGATGCGGTGCCTCCAAATGGGTTGCCGTGACAACGGATCAAGCTTGGGTCCCATCAGACGATCGAAAGACTGATTAGCATAGCGCTTCAATGTACACTTGGTGTTACGGTACACCAGACATCTACCAAAACCTGCAGCAAACAATTTGTTGGAAGAGAAAAACAGAAGCGAAATGTTTCAATCTGCAAGGTATGGAAATGTCTTTCTTTGGATATTGTTTAGAGGGATAAGATAAGGTAATAAAGAGTAATTGAGAGTAATTGAGAGTAATAGATCATCATAGTCACCATCACCATAAGCACCATCATCACTATCATTGCCACCATCATCATCATCATCATCATCATCATCATCACCATCATCATCACCCCCACCAGTACCACCATCATCACCACCAACATTACCACTACCACTAAAATCACCAGCATCAACATCACCACCACCAATACCGTCATCATCATCATTATCATTACATTATCTTCATCTCACCATTATAATCATCATCTTCATCGTCATCATAACTATCATTCCATCAATTTCAATTTTCAATTTCAATTTTCAATTTCAATTTATTCAGCCAATCATTAAAAACAATTTACAATGACACTGTTACTGGAACAATAATTATAACATGATGACAGGCTACGGACCCCTGAGAAGCAGAGCTTGTAAATGGGGCCCATTAACATAGAATTAAATACAAATATAATAAAAACATGCTATAAAAAGCAAAAAAAAAAGAAAAAGAAGAGATACATATATATTCATACTTATTAAAAAACAATTACAAATATCTTGCAAACACACTCAGCCATACTCACTCACACACCCACACACACACACACACAATGCAATGTACTTTAAAGCATATTATAAGAGAGAGAGAGAGAGAGAGAGAAGAAGAAGAAGAAGAGAGTAGAATATTTAAAAGACAAAGGAAGAAGAGGTGACACATGAACAATGTGAAATATGAGATTGAAACTTATAGTCCTACCCAGTTTTACAAATGACCATCACCACCATCAGTACCATCATCATCACCACCAAAATCACCACCAATACCATTATCATCATCCTTATCATCATCATTAGCACCATCACCACCACTACCATCACCATCATCACCATCATCTGGCATTGTTTGTTACCTCTGTCGACAGAAGCCTTGTTGAGAATGAGTGCGTCCTCTATGTCATACCCACTGTAACTCATGACAGCTACGACGGCGTTCTGACCTGCTGGAAGCTTATCAAACCCAATCAAATCTATTGTCTGCATGGAAGAGAGGGGAGGGGGAGAGGGTGAGGGAGGGAGGGGGAGAGAGGGTGAGGGAGCGAAGGAAGGATAGAGGGAGGGACAGAGGATGAGGGAGGGAGGACAAGGGGAGGGAAGGGAGAGGGAAGGAGAGGAGAGGGAAGGAGAGGGAGGTAAAGGGAAGGAGAGAGGGGGAGGGGGAGGAAGGATGGAGGGAGGGAGAGAGGGTGAGGGAGGGAAGGAAGGATAGAGGGAGGGACAGAGGATGAGGGAGGGAGGACAAGGGGAGGGAAGGGAGAGGGAAGGAGAGGAGAGGGAAGGAGAGGGAGGTAAAGGGAAGGAGAGAGGGGGAGGGGGAGGAAGGATGGAGGGAGGGAGAGAGGGTGAGGGAGGGAAGGAAGGATGGAGGGAGGGATAGGGAGAGAAGGGAATGGAGAGGGGAGGGAAGGGAAGGAGAGAGGGGGAGGGGGAGGAAGGATGGAGGGAGGGAGAGAGGGTGAGGGAGGGAAGGAAGGATGAAGGGAGGGATAGGGAGAGAAGGGAATGGAGAGGGGAGGGAAGGGAAGGAGAGAGGGTGAGGGGGAGGAAGGATGGATGGAGGGAGGGATAGGGAGGGAAGGGAGAAGGGAAAGCGGAAGGAGGGGAGTAGAGGGGTAGGAGGGAAAACAGAAAGAGATATACATTAGCATTTGAAATGAAATACATATTTTTGTGCGGTTCAAACTCTTGTTTTTTTTATTACTCTAGCTTCAATTCTACACACAAATCATACCAGTAAATCATTTGTAATGAGAGCAAAGAGTGTATTAACTGGGTCTAACACACATTTCAATCATATACAATCTATATCCAGGATCTGACTATAAATGTCTTTGTAGGTGACGACAGAGAGCTGATCTTATGACAGCACTACAAGTTGGGTTGACTATCCCAAGTCTTCACTGTATAAAACTTTCTTCCATTCTCAACGCATTCAAAATGATTGATACCCTTACCTTGGATTTGACAAGCGGTGCCATGGGGTAGGCCAGCAAGTACATTAGTGTGTCTATGCGATTCCGCTGGTTGTAAGCTATGGTACCTGTAAAGAGCAAAATCGGGATAATAAATCTATAGCATACAAGTGATGGATCAGTGGTCTTGTAACTGGGAGGTCCCAAGTTCGAAACTAAGTCGATAAGTTTGTGCCATTTGGTAAGGCATTACTCCTTATTCAGAGATGCCAACCCTATCGGATGGCTGTCAGTAACATTTACCACATTTGTCCGCAACAAATGGGGGTCTTTCCGTAACGCAAGACACCGCAGCATAATTTTCGTGGAAAACGTACACAAACACCCAATCACTCTTACTGCATTTCGAACCTACCATTTTTAAGTCCACAATAAAGATGTGCATAAAAACGTTTTTTAAAATCTGTTTGCAGTCAAAGGATCTCCTCCTTGGGTACTCGCTCTTTTGAATGAATCCATGATAATATTCATGAAGAATACACCTCGTTCAAGCGTCAAATGGCAGAACTCTTTTCCTACACACGCACGCGTACATTCACCAGTACCACAGACACACCAGCCCAGGCCGCTAGGCCCGGCGTTCATGAACAACCGCACTTGCAATGGGCCCGCTGAATCACCAAAGTCTTCGCTACTATACTATGAATGGTTATTGCGGGCGCCGCGCGCACAATCATCTACCTCCATGCCCCCCCCCCCCAAAAGGCACGGCCGTACGTAGCATACTAGTATCAAAACAGTAATAATGGCGCCCGTGTTGTTTCGGAATTAAACAAGATGGCGGCGGACGGACCATGTGCGCGAAAGTGCCTATCCAGTGTAGTCAAATTCAGTGAACTTATGATTATATGCGTGCGACATGCAGCGGTGTGCACGGAGGCTATGTAATAAGGCGGCATTCGCTATAATGTACTTTTGATTATCGTTTCCCCGTAACCTTTTGATTGTTTACCGTAACGCCGTAACAAGAGCATTAAAACCGTAACAAATACGGCGAAACCGTAATGGTTGGCATCTCTGCCTGGGGAGTATTCCTACCATATGGTCACCGTGAGGGCATATGGCAATAGCTAACACAAAATATTTCGTCATCCTACCAGGTCCCCATTTCTCTTTTAGGTATATGGTGGCAAACATAGATTCATGCCTTACCAAAGGGACATTAGAGCCACGTTGGGAAAACAAGCCCACAACCTTTGCATTTCAATTCAAGTGCTGAAACCCCTGGACTACGACACCTCTATCTATAACCACCCCTACATCCACCACTGGCCACTGAAAAGAGAGGTGAAAAGCTTGTCTTACCCATAGCTTGCTTGCCCATGGCACACTGGTAGGTATTCCTGGGCGACTGGTTGTGATGGGGGTAGGGAATCAGTCCAGCACACACACCAAGAATGGTGAACGGTTCTATCTCGAGGTGAGTTGTCTCTCTATTGGGGATGAAAGACAAGAAAGATAGGATCACCAGTCAAGGTAGAATGAAGAAGAAGAATGGTAGATAATCACATCTAGATAATCACATCTTACACATGAGGTACATACATATGTACGTACCGTATTTGCCGGCGATAAGGCCGCAGCGCCGTATAGGCCGCACCCCCGATTTTGACATTTAAAAAAAAAAAAAAAAAAAAAAAAAAAAAATCTTTTGCCAAAGTCGGGATCCGATCTCATGCGTACAAATGTTGATTTGACTAAAATCACCGCCTTAAACCGCTCGGCCATCCTGCACTGATACTATACACTGCAGTTTTCTGTAATGTAGTCATTGAAATGGATTGAAAATGGCGATTTCGCGCGCTGGATGCTTCGCGGCTGCTCCGTTAAACAGGCCCTTCTTTTACTTTTGCAATGCATTGGCACAAACTTACATGTAGATCAAAATCTATCGGCAGATGTTGTTTTTGGAAGTTTATTGCAATGCAAGATAAAATTGTTGGTAAGATGTGTGGAAATGTATAGTTATTGTACCGTCCGTAGATCTAGTCCCATACGTACAAATTTGTGCTGGTTTTGACTTTTTGTTGTTGTTGTTTTTTCTGTTTCGCCGTAAACGCCGCACCCCAACTTTTTGATATTTTCTCTTCCAAAAATACTGCGGCCTTTACGCCAGCAAATACGGTATGTATTGGTACAGCACACACACCAAGAATGGTGAATGGTCCTATCTCAAGGTGAGTTGTCTCTCTGTTGGGATGAACGACATGAAAGATATGATCACCAGTGAACAATGAAGAAGTAGAGTGGTGAATAACTGTTTTTAAGACGGGGCCCAGGAATGGTAAATCGCTCATTATTAGCTGTCTCTGTTATGCTGAGAGACGTTAACATTCATAAGTATTGGAGAAGGTACACGGCAGATAGAGAGAGTAGCATCACTAAAGTAATGGAATCAAAATTTCAGATATGACAGCACCCAACTTGCCACGCATTACAAAGAGGAGTTTTCATTCAAACAAATATAATCTGGGGGTGTTTCACAAAGATCCTTAGTTGAACTTATCTCTAAGTTGGACTTAAAAGTTATGGAAAGCCGTTGACATCTTTGAAAATATTTTGTAAAAGTTATTTTAAAAGGCACAAAATGTTGATTCAAATCATTCATATTTTCTATTATCAAGGAGATTTCACGTTCTTGATGTGGAATTTATGAAATGTCTAAAACACTTCAATTTTTGCTTTTGATTATATTTTATTTTAAGGCTTCAAATGGCTCTCCACAATGTTTAAGTCCAACTAAGAGTTAAGGTCAACTTAGGATCTTTGTAAAACACCCCTATGAGCTCCTTGACTCACTTTGACGGGGAGAGAGAAGGAAGAGAGAGGGAGTGAGGAAGAGAGAAGAAGAGAGAGATGACGATAGAAAGAGAGAGGAGAAGAGATATAGGGGAGAGAGGGGGTATAGAAAGAGAGAGGGGTGGGGAGAAGGAAGAGAGAGGGAGTGAGGAAGAGAGAAGAAGAGAGAGATGAAGATAGAAAGAGAGAGGAGAAGAGAGATAGGGAGAAAGAGGGGTGGGGAGAGGGAAAGAGAGAGAGGGAAGGGGATAGAAGAGAGAGAGAAAGGGAGAGAGGGAAGGAGAGAGAGAAGCGAAAGAGAGAAAGAGGGGGGAGATATAATTCTGAGCGCCTTGACTCACTTTGAGATGTGTGTTTCGTAGAGAGCCACCAAGCTGTCATTTTCCTCGTTGACGTCAAGGTACTCAACCAGCCCCTCCCTCAAGAAGTCCTCGAAGCATCTGAAGCCTTGCGAGAGCTCTGTCATGTGCTTGTCCAGCACCCTCGGTTTGAGATTCTCAACAATGATGTAAGGTCTAAATGATCAGAAGGTACGCAAAGTGAGAGACAAAAATGAATTATGTGCATGTATATGTTTAACTATTAAAACTACTGCCATCACAGTTAAAAATCAACATGAATACACTTATGTTACTTGCCACTTATGCAACAATAACATTCAAACAATCATCACCACAATCATCCATTCACTGCTTTGGCCATCACCAACTCTAACACTTTTGTTAGCTCTACCACCAATAGTCATCATCATTACAACCGTGATGGCATGGTGGCTCAGTGGTTAGAGCGCCCGCCTCATGAACGGGAGGTCATGGGTTCAAACCCTGGCCGAGTCATTCCAAAGACTTATAACAATAAGACATTCTGCCTTCTAGCTAGGCGCTCAGCATATTAGATTGGAGAAGGGTACTAATAACATATTATGTTATGCAGGGCCCGCTGGAAGTGGCTACCCTGGGTAAATAAAACGTTATTATTATTATTATTATTACCATCACAAACACCATTAGCATCATCATGATCATTACAATCACCACCCGCAATATCACCACCATCCACATCATCATCTTTAGTATCATCATCATCATCATCATCTTTAGTATCATCATCATCATCATCATCTTTAGTATCATCATCATCATCATCATCACCGTTGTTGTCGTCCCTATCATCATCATCATTATCACTGTAATCATCATCATCATCACCATTACCATCATCACCGTCATCATCATCATCATCATCATCATCATCATCACCATCAGGAGTGAACACCGTCATCATCTCCGCCAACATATCCATCATCTAACTTACCTGCACACCCTCCCTCCATCTGATGCAATGGTGACACATCTCTGGGCGTGGTTTGGACAGATGGAGACAAACTCACTGATGTACCCCGCCCTTCTCACCAGACGGAAGGTACGCATCAACCTCTTGTGCTCTCTGACCACACCCAAGATGTTACCTGTCAATTTCATATCAATAATCAATATTTTATTTAATGGTTCCACTATTGAAGAAGACAGAAGATTTCAATAATAAGGGATATTCTTTTTTTGCACCAACAGAGTTGGGAAAGAGACCCACAAATATTGAAGCCTGTTCAAGATAAAACTTGGAACAGAGCAACGAGGGATGAAAATAATCTATTCCCCTCATCTTTTGAATAATTTGCTTCATGACATGAATTCCCAAAAATGGTTATTTATTTTTAACCACTTAATAAACTTACGTCATTCCTCATGTTACAACCTCTCTTTTTTAGGGGGGGGGGGAGAGAAAAAAAAAGACATTGTTTCTAACTAGTAAAGTAGTGACAAAAATTCTTCAAGTCAACCAATATTCACTTTGTATTTACAAGATTTATACCTTCAATTCTTTTTCTTGTTATCTCTTCTGTCAAACCTGCTTCAGCGACCAGCTGTATAGAAAGACCACCTGTCTACAAAGACCACATTTTTTGTTTCCCTCGAAACATGTAATAAAGGCACCTGTACATAAAGACCACCTGCCTATAAAGGCCACTTTTCTTATCTCCTTTGGATGGTCTTAAAAGACAGGTTTCACTGTACTAGCCAATCTTACCATTGAGGAAGACGACGTAGACATCTTTCATGCTAAGCTCCTCCCCCGACATGAGATGCACAGGCTCCACCCCCAAGTTGAACGCTAACTTGACAATGGGGGCCTCCTCCATGTCCGTTGTGATGTGGGTCATGAGCGCAAGGTTCTTGATCAATCCACATCCCTTAAAAACCAAAAAAATAACATAAAAACATTGATAGACAGTTAGAAGAACAGTCACATAGTCAGGGATATAACTGAGATAATATTAATTGATTAAATCAATGATGGAAAAATCTTCACTCTACTAATTTGAGTCCCTTTCATTCTTTATATTTTGTATGAATTGATTTAATGTACCTTGTATAAGATTCACTAGTGACCAGGTTTCTTGAAGACTGGTAATCATTTCTCTTACCTCTCCTTCAGGAGTATCAGATGGGCACAACATACCCCACTGGGACGGTTGAAGGGAACGGGGACCACTCACTTTTCTGGTCTTCTCAAACTGTAGGGGAGAAAGAAATATCATTCTAACATGAACACTGTGCATTATCATTATAAGCTTGTAAATATCATTGTAAGTGTCATGGTAAGCTTGTAAATTTCATTGCCAGTAGCTGCATTTACACTGCAACCAAAAACCGTTGGTTTTTCTCACATTCCAGTGTTTCGCCGGTAGTTGCATAGCATGAAAACAAACTGACAAATCTACATCCAAAAACCCCCCTCTGGTGTGTGTTTTTTTCAACACCAAAGTTTTACAGGTTTATTTGCAATTTGTAAAAGCAAACTTTGGTGAGATACCGATTTGTTGTCACGTGACTCTCCTCACTTGCAGGGCACCAACGAGTGCGCATGCGCACTTCTCAACAACAAAAAAGGTATGAGCAAACTTTGACAATTTTCCAGGAGTGTGAATGGTCTTTTGGATGTGTAAATGGGCCTAGTGTCATTGTAAATGTCATTGATGTTACCTGACTGGATATCCTTGTCATCATCCCTAGACATGAGATGTAGGAGAGTCTGGATAGAACCTGCGTCACTCCGGCTCTCTCCATCTTGAAACGCTTCACTGACCAGTTACCCTACAAAGAAATAAATGAAATACAGTTTCATATTTACAGTTTTTAATATTCAATATATTCTCTGATGTCAGTTCATTCAAAAGTATGCCAATTTTTGTTTTCATCTGTAACATTTTCATTGAATGATAATTAATAGTACATAGCAATGGACAAAGACAAGAATAGAGAGAAAATCTAGCAGCTGTTTATGTCTATGGTGCAAATACTACTTACCGTGGACAAAGCTGTGATGAATCCCTTTTTGATCTGGCCTTGTCTCATAACCTTGATACCGGTAATACTAAACCTCACCTAATCCTTATTCCACAGTTAACAACACTTCTACAAGTCTTCCTATCGATATATTGCTAGAACTAGAAACGTTCGCGACATGAAAATTCATGAATTGCTAATGATGGACATTTTCATGAATAGACATTTTTGCAAAATTGTAAATATTCTATGGTGTACCAGTTGTGATTCGATTATTTGTGGCATAACGTTTGGGTGGTTCTTAAACACTAATGAGCTTTGAAAATGTTTGTGCATGCACAAATGTCTGGTTTTACAATTTGCTCTGATCATCGAACCACCAGACTAGTGTCTATAGATAGATATACAGTCAAACCTGCTTTAGTGACCACCTGTCTACAAAGACCACCTGTTTACAAAGATCACATTTTTAGTTTCCTTTGGAAATGGTTTCTCATTGAAACATGTACAAATGGAACCTGTCTACAAAGACCACTTTTTGTGTTTCCCTTTGGGCGGTCACTATAGACAGGTTTGACTGTATATAACACATTCTTACCGTGGATATCGCTGTGATGAGTCCATTTGTGATCTGGTCTTGTCTCATGTATTTGACGATATCAAACTGAGCGGCCCTGGGTCTGGGAATGTTCTGATCAGCGTACTTCTTGAGTTCAGAGTTGAACTTCTTGAAAAGATCCTCAAAGAGAAGAGCAATAAGCTGTCAAATTGATGAGAAAGAAGAAAATTATGATTAAAGCAGAAGTCAACCGTGATATCAAGTAGATTTCAGTAAAAGCAGATAAATGAGAGGAACAGGTTATTGAAAGTTAAGCAAAATCTGACTAAAATAGGACGTTTATACATTTTTGAAGGTGAGATCAATTAAACTCAAATTGGCAACTCTGAGACGAATCTTGCAAGGTCCTCTTCAATTTGCTCATACATGGTAACACTATCAAGTTAACCGCTATGTGCTTAATTCAGTCATTTCCCTACCTTGTAAAAAAAGGGGTCCTCAATTGCTATGCCCTACATGTACAAACCTCTGTAGAGGTGTCGTGGACGAGAGGATATGTCGCCGGACTGTCGAACGCAAGGTCCGCGGTTCGAATCCCGCCACGACGCTAGTGTCCTTTGGCAAGACATTGATCTACATTTGCCACACTCCACCCAGGTGAAGTAAATGGAGACCGGTAGGAAGGAATTCCTTGAATGCTGTGAGCACCAAATACGGTAGCCTAGCAGAGCCGGGGTAATATTGGAGCGCTTTGAGCACCTTGCAGGGTGGATAGTAGCGCTATATAAATATCATTATATTATTATTATTACACACAAAACCTGTACCTAGTTTCATTGCAAGACACAGCAGCATATTCTTTCCTAAATATTTGCTCTTACCTGGCCTGCCAGCTCCAATCTCTTGTTGCCATAGTAATCCCTATCATCCACCTTGACCGCATCTCCTTGTGCTTCTATCACCCTCCTCACCATCAGCGCCAAATAGATGCTCTTGGCTCGGAAATTGAACTGGACGACCTGTGGATTCAAAAAAAGGAGGCAGCGTATTTTACTGACATCAAAACCACCGCTGTACTGGCGCCATTGTTCGTTAAAGGCATATATAGGGCCGGTTTCTGTACCCAAGCATCATCAGCTGGTGATGCATTGTAGGATGTGGCTGTTGGCACATCAGGACATTGTGAGCAGCAGATGGCAGTATCCGTAAATCTGAACTAGTGTGAGTAGACTACCATGCCTTTAAGCCTCGTTCAGTAATAAGGCAGTAAACCGCAGCATTTAAAAACAAAAAAAATGAATGAATGGCAAATGGGGATGCTAAAAAGTAGCTGCAAGCAACAAATATCCTAGATATGCATAATCACTATTTATCAGATACAAAAAATGAGGGTAGAAGTCGAGGAGTTACTTACAGGTATATGGGCGAGGATGGTAGTAGCTAGTAGTTCTCTTGCTTCATCAACCTTGGACTTCTTAGAGCCTCCTCCCCACATCCTCCTCTGACGCACTTTCATTCCCATGTACTTCAGAGCCTAGGTAAAAAAAAAAAAATTATATCAATTATTACTTTATCATCCTTTCTTCTTTTTTGTTTCTTCTTAATTTTTCTCCCCATTGTTTTCTCTTCCTCTCCACTATTACTTCTCACTCTTCCCCCTTGCTATCTTCTTTCTTTCTTTTTTGTAAACATATGTCTTCACTCTCTTTCTCTCTGCTTTCAGCAATGTAAACATATGCACCTCCTTTTATCTGTACAGTCAAACCTGCTTTAGTGACCACCTGTCTACAAAGATCACATGTCTTTGTTTCCCTTGAAAATGGTTTTTCATTGAAACCTGTACTACAGGCACATGAACATAAAGACCACCTGCCTTTCTTGTTATCGCTGTTGTACCTACCTTTATACAACTCTTTCGTCTCTATCCTCTTTCTCCTTCTCTTTCCCTTCGTCACACAATTTCTTCTCTGGCTTTGACAGTCATTCTTCTCTCTCTCTCTCTCTCTCTCTCATTGCCATTTTGTCTGTCTGTGTGTCCAACTCGCTGTTTTCCTCTCATTCTCTCTCTCTCTCTCATTGCCATACTGTCAGTCTGTGTGTCTATCTCGCTGTCTTCCTCTCCCGACCCCTTCTCTCTATCTTTCTCTGTTTGTCTATCTCTGTTTCTCCTTCTCTCTCCAACTCTCTCTATCTCTCTTTTTCTTTCGTTTGTTCTTTCTTTCTTTCTTTCTTTCCTCCTTCCTTTCTTTCTTTCTTTCTTTCTTCCTTCCTTTCTGTCTATCCTCCCCGCTCTTTCTCTCTCTTGCTCCTTCCCTCATTCGTTATAGTCTGTCTGTCTGTCTCTCTCTCTCTTTTTCTTTCTCTTTCTTTCTCCTTTCTCTCTCTCTCTCTCTCTCTTCCCCCTCCCTTTCTCCATCCCTTCCTCTCTTCACTCACCTGTAGCTGTGTGTAGACCTGTATTTTATGGCATTCCTCCAGGTTCGAAGCAAAGCTGACCATCGTAGATTCCTCCGTCCCGATGGTCTGGACGATCTCCTGGTCACTCTCCATCCCCATGGCCTTGAAGATCACCACAATGGGAATGTCCTGATAGTGGTCAAGCAAACAAACAAATGAACAAACAAATGAAGAAACTAGATGGAATTTTGACTGCGCGCAGTCGAAAATGATGCCTCCGCCATGGAGCAATTTAAACAAGTTTGGAGTTTAAATCTCCAGTGGTTCTTGAGATATCGCGATAACGATCTCAATGTATGGAATTTCATAAGTTGACCTCTGTGACCTTTGACCTACGTGCTCCAAAATCTAATCAGATTGTCTTCCTATGGTGATACACATTATCATTAAGTTTGAAGTTTAAATCTCCAGTGGTTCTTGAGATATTATGATAACAATCTCAATGTATGGAATTTCATAAGTTGACCTCTGTGACCCTTGACCTACGTGCTCCAAAATCTACTCAGATCGTCTTCCTATGGTGATACACATTATCATTAAGTTTGAAGTTTAAATCTCCAGTGGTTCTTGAGATATTATGATAACAATCTCAATGTATGCAATTTCATAAGTTGACCTCTGTGACCCTTGACCTTTGACCTACGTGCTCCAAAATCTACTCAGATCGTCTTCCTATGGTGATACATACTATCCTTAAGTTTGAAGTTTTTACATCTCCAGTGGTTCTTGAGATATCATGATAACAATCTCAATGTATGCAATTTCATAAGTTGACCTCTATGACCCTTGACCTTTGACCTACGTGCTCCAAAATGTAATCAGATTGTTTTCCTATAGTGATACACACTATCACTAAGTTTGAAGTTTAAATCTCCAGTGGTTCTTGAGATATCATGATAACAATCTCAATGTATGGAATTTCATAAGTTGACCTCTGTGACCCTTGACCTTTGACATACGTGCTCCAAAATCTAATCAGATCGTCTTCCTATGGTGATACATACTATCCTTAAGTTTTAAGTTTAAATCTCAAATGGTTCTTGAGATATCGCGCTAACAAACTCAATACAAGGAATTTCATAAGTTGACCTCTGTGACCTGTGACCTTTGACCTACGTACTCCAAAATCTAATCAGATCGTCTTCCTATGGTGATAAATACTATTCCCGAGTCTTAAGTTTAAATCTTAAATGGTTCTTGAGATATTGTGATAACGGTCAAACGGGACGGACGTACGGACGTACGGACGTACGGACGTACGGACGGACAACCCGAAAACATGATGCCTCCGGCACCACCTTCGGTGGCGGAGGCATAACAAACAAATAGTTAGAAGAATATTTAGTTGTGACAGTTCGCTTGAGCTTGTTAAAGGTATCGTTAAACAATGTTAAATCTGAGATGCACAGCCCTATGTGTTATCAATGTCTGTGATATGGTGTAATATTGAACCCCCTAAAAAAAATTTGCTTCAAAATGATCAAGAAGTGCCTCAAAATAGTAAAAATCTCTGAGTGACGGGTTTTACCATACTCGTTTTCCCCAATAGACCGTAGTGTTAAGAAAACCATGAGGAAAACGCATTTGGTTTCATAATATCTTCATGTCAGACAAGCGATTGGCTTGTAAAAGTCATGGGGTTCCAGACTGACCTAAAGGTTTATAATTAACATTGCAGCCTGAGCTAAATCCAGGATTTTGTTTCAGAATCTGAGACAAAGTTACCGGATCCCTTTAAGAGTTGGGATCTATTTCATGAAACTTTCTTTCAATAACAAGTTACAATATCTGTTTTAAAGGCACACTGTCCTACTTGTAGCTACTTGCTCCCTCTATATAGAAAACTTCCCAAATCGGTGCCTGTTGGTCCCCCATGATCCTCTTTTTCTTATGTTAAATGAGAGCCGAGTTAATGAGATAGCCACCTGTCACAGTGACCTCGATGGCTCTCTGGGTGGTCTAATCCCTTCTAGCTGCAGTAGTAAAGCCTCCCTTTAAGCTACTGAAATCATGGCATATGATGGGCTGAGAGCAAATTTACCATAGGAATTTAGCATTTGTTTTTTATGAAACAGGGCCCTGGTTTCACAAGTTAGGTAGAACGAGCCATGAATCCTACCTCAGTGAAGGTGTTGTGCTTCAAGTAATGCTTGCCCTTCTTCACGATCACAACCGTTCTACTCTTCCTCTCATGGGTGGAACTGAAGAAGACAAAAAAGAATCTCATGAATCAACTGTTTAACGATAAAGTTGAGTTCTGGTCATGCGATTACATTGTGAAAGAAAATGATGTGGAATCTATAACAAAAGGTTGATCATCTAGCATATAAGTATTGGTGTCCACTGCAAGGTGACCACACAGGGAGGTCTAATCCCTCCTGGCCAAACTAGTGCAGATACAATGTAGGCTTTGAGCACCTAATTATTATGTGAAAAATGGGGTTACCTACTACTATGCCCATCTCACACACAAAACCCTACCTGTTTGCATTATAAAACAATCTCGACTTATGAATAGTTGGGTCATTCAATCATATCACTATTACATGTTTGTGAAAAAAGGGTCATCAATCACCATACCCAGTACACACAGAAAACCCTTACCTGGTTACACTATCAAGTTATCAGTAACATGGATAAGCGCTGTTCGGTTGCAATCGTATCTCGTGAAAAAGGGGTCATCCATCACCATGCCCAGTACACACAAAAAACCCTTACCTGGTTACACTATTAAGTTATCAGTTACTGGATAAGCGCTGTTAGGGTGTGATCCTATCTCGTGAAAAAGGGGTCATCAATCCCCATGTCCAACATTCACATAAAAACCCTTACCTGGTTACACTATCAAGTCATCTGTAATAGAGATATGCACGGGTCTGTTGTGATCTTATCTTGGGAAAATGGGGTCATCAATCACCATGCCCAGTGTACACACAAAAAACCCTTACCTGGTTACACTATCAATACATCTGTAATAAGGATAAGCGCTGTTCGGATGTGATCCTATCTCGTTAAAAAGGGGTCATCAGTCACCAAGCCCAGTACACACAGAAAATCCTTACCTGGTTACACTATCAAGTTATCAGTAACATGGATAAGCGCTGTTCGGTTGCGATCGTATCTCGTGAAAAAGGGGTCATCCATCACCATACCCAGTACACACAAAAAACCCTTACCTGGTTACACTATTAAGTTATCAGTTACTGGATAAGCACTAGGTGTGATCCTATCTCGTGAAAAAGGGGTCATCAATCCCCATGTCCAACATTCACATAAAAACCCTTACCTGGTTACACTATCAAGTAATCTGTAATATACAGTAGATATGCACTGTTCGGTTGTGATCTTATCTCGTGAAAAAGGGGTCATCAATCCCTATGCCCGGTATACACAAAAAACCCTTACCTGGTTACATTGCAGGACACGATACCCTTCCGATCCACCTCTACTATCATCCTGTTCTTGGAGAGCTGTTCCTGAATGAGGATGACCTTCTCCGTTCCCCTGACGATGAAGTAGCCTCCGGGGTCAAGGGGGCATTCGTTCAGCTTGGCCAGTTCGGCCGGAGACTTGCCGGTCAGCACGCAGTTGGAACTCCGCAGCATGATGGGCATCCTTGAAAGGCAAACAAGTGAAGTGAATGTTAACATGTTGACCACTGAATTCTCTCATTCAGATAGACTTACTACAGGAACTACCTGGCTCTCGTAGGCAAAGGGTTAAAGTGACTCAGTATCTTTGTCTCAGATTCTGAAACAAAATCCTTGATTTAGCTCATGCTGCAATCATAATCATAACCCTTTAGGTCAGTCAAGAATTCTATGACCTTTACAAGCCGAGCGCCTGTCTGCTTATCAAAATATCTATCTATGATTGGAATTCAAAGTTTCAAAAACTGTTTTCCCCAACGGTTTTTATAACACTACAGTCTATTGGCGAAAAGGTATGGTAAAACCGGTTACTCACAGATTTTTTACTTTTTTTGAGGCTTTTCATGATTATTTTGAAGTGCTGTTTTTGTTAGGGCTTCAATATCACAGACACTGATAACACGTAGGGCCATCCATGTATCTCAGATTTGGCATAGATGGTTAACCATTGCCTTTTCACTGTTGAGTACTGAATTCTCTCTCAATACAGAAGCCATCTAGTTCTCATAGGCAAATTGAAGTCTGTGTATAGTTTTGGTTTCAGTTGCTCCCTTCCCATTTGGTCAGAATTCTTTCATCTAGTGATATCAAGATACTGTTGATAGGTCAAACTTAGACTAGTTATGTTCATATGTGTTATGACATAATTATTCTGATGCAATTGACTGATAAGAAATGAATGTTATACACCTTAAAGTCTGTGCATAGTTTTACTCTGACTTTTTATTCCTTTCGTTTTTGTCATAATTTCTTAATCACATCAATGAATAAGAAGATCCTTTCATCTGTTATTTTGATAGTTCTATGACAGTATTTTTACATTGTTGGATGATAAATAAATAAAATTGAAATTGAAATTGAATTGAATGTCTTCAAGTTCTCATATCTCATGACTGCAGTCAGATTATGTATGATATGAGCTATAGACTCAGATTTCAGATCTCATATATACCTTCCTATCGGCAAGTTATTTCTAATGACCCTCTGCTGCCCTCTAGTGTATTCGATGTCGACGGTGATGGGGGCGGAGTAGGTCATGTCACGCAGACGACACTCATGGGGCGAGGTCGGCTTGGTGATGTTGAAGCTCTCCTCGACATCAGGGCTCCCAACGTAAATATTCAGATATCTGAGTGGGAGATGAAGGAGAGTTTATTTGTTATAAATTGACAAATTCAATGATATTAAGTGTTCTCGCTAATGCCAAGGAACCTCTGGGAATTTATAATTATTATTATTGTTATTGTCATTATTATTATCAATCATTTTATCATTATTGTATTATTGTTATTTCAATTATCATTTTTTCAAATTTTATTATTATTACCATTATTATTATTTAGACATACCGTAAATCTCTGTGTATAAGGCGCATCCCTATTTTTTAGATTAAAAAAAAGAAGAAAAAAATCAGCGTGCGGTTTGATGATGCAAGGAATTGGGAAGGAATTTTTATTTATTACGACTTTACAGTCAAAAAGTCAAAGTAAAAAAGAATAGTAACAATGTTGTTCTTAAAACTAAAGATGACAGCTAGTCCTCCCGAGTCCAAACCAAAATTTAGACAGGCTAGTTTTCGAGTGGTGATTCGATATCCCCAGTGTGAGTGAGCTGCATGATACAGGTGAGTGAGCTGGAGATACGGGAGAGCTTCGGCCGGGAAAGTGCTTTGTAAAGGGGCAAAATTCATCGAGACTGAAAAAAAAAAAAACTCTCTTCCCTTCAAATTAGGAATGTAGTTTAACTTAAAATAGTAGATCCTCTTCTTTATTTCCATTATGTAATTCATGTTGAGACACAGAGATTTTCGGAAACCATTAAAAAGTAGCATTTTGAGAACTCAAAATATCCTGTACCTGTGTATTAGGCGCACCCCCGACTTTTGATTTTTCCCCGACGAAAAAAAGTGCGCCTTATGCACGGAGATTTACAGTATAAAGATACAATGCAATGGCAAGAGAAAAATACATATTAAGAATATGAAGAAAAAATATGTATAAGGATTAAACGCAGCAAGTGGGTCAAGGTACACAAAAGTGAAATAAAATTCCACTACATCAAATATTGCATATAAGTGAGAATTCACTATCGTCATTTTGCAAAATATAGTACTTTGAGTATAATGCACTTCACACTTGTATGTGTCCTACACTTACGTAACACTTTGTTTTCCCCCTCCCCATACCCCTCCTCCCTTCCCCTTCCCCTTTAATATGTACACTTCCATCATATCTAATGTATCAACAATGCTGCTTTGTATAATTCTGTAAATAGTTGTGAGTATTTTTGCACTCTTTAATTATTTTTCATTTTTGATCAATAAAGATTTGGTAAAAAGATATCAGGTTTCACTGTACTTACTTCATGTAGAACGTTTGATCAGCATCACTAGTAATCTTCTCATTTGCTATCATGATCTTCTTGATCTATTCAGGGGGAAAAAAACAGAACAAATTATGAAAATATCTAACACAGCAATCAGCAAACATGCTACCTTCTATGAATTGAAACATAGAAAACCTCATATGTTGCCGTCTTCAGAGTTTTGTTTAAGATGCACTTGTTTTCAGAAGCTTTGGATAGTTTATTTGTATAAATTGTATGTCTGTAAAGTGTTATCATTATAATTATTATAAAAACTTTTCACTATATTTATTCATTCATTATTATTAGAAGTAGTATCATCATCATCATCATCATTATCATCGTCATCATCATCATCGTCATCAACATCATCATCATCACTATCATCATCATCATCATCATCACTATCATCATCATCATCATCATCATCACCACCACCACCACCACCATCATGATGATCATCATCAACATCATCATCATCATCATCATCATCATCACCACCACCACCACCATCATGATCATCATCATCATCAACATCATCATCATCATCATCATCATCAACATCATCATCTGATGCCATTATTATATTTCATTTTAGTTTTATTTATTTTTTATTTTTTTGGAAGGGGGGGGGGGGCACCCTCATGCTTCCTAAGAGCAGTTCCCCTTTGTAAAGCTCCAATGGTTACATTTAACATACCTCGACATTGATGAAGTAGTTGAAGGAGTCGATGTGCTGACGGACCAATCCGCGCACCTTGAGGAAGGCTGGCAGAAGCTTCCATTTATCCTGCGGATCAAAGAAATAACCAGAATTAGATTTCGAAGTTTGTGTGATATTCATGTAGCTGAATAAAACATTATATATGTTTATGGGATCTGTGATCAAATGTGAAAACTTCTGTTCGCTCATCAGATAGGGTCAGCAGACTTTTTTGGTTCTAGAGAGGGGGGGGGGGGGGGTGGCCTAATTTGGCTCAATCTCAACCCAATTCATAATTATAAATGACTGTAAGCAAAGCACATGAAATGAAATGCACTTTTAGAATTTTATACAGTCTAGACTCGTTTCTTACACTCTAGCTTCCTCATCTCCATCTCCTTTCCCATTATTTAATTTTTCTCCTTTGTTTTCCTCAAAATCTCTCTCCTCCTTGTTGTTGTAGTTTTTGTTTTTAGGCATGTATCATTTACCTAAAAACTAGAACAACAACATAGAGAAGAGAGAGATTAAAGCTCTTCCTTTGATTTGTCTCCCTCCTTCTCCTCTTTTCCTATACTATTTTAGCTTGCTCTTTTCTTCTCCCTCTTCCTCTTTCTTGTTCTCCTTCTCCTTCTTCCGTCTTCATCTATCTTCCGCTCTTTCTTCTTCTTCCATTCCTTCCCTAATTCTCCACTTTCTCTCTCCCGGCCCTTCTTGTTCCTCCACCTCCCCTAATTCCTCCATCAATCTTTTTGATATTCTTTCACTGATCTAAAATAGGGGTCTAGAACTAAATCATAAATGTACTTAATCTTATTCATTGTTATATTCTCTTTATAAATCCTTATCCTGCTGATGCTTAAGTTTTCAACCTTCTTCTTCAATTCTTCCTCTCCTCTTCCTTCTTCTTCCCCTCTTCCTTCCCCTTCTTCTTTTCATGTTTCTTCTCTAGCTTCTTCTAGCTTCTTGCCACAGCACAGCCTAATTGATAACACTAAATCAAATACGTGGGACAAGTCTAATGTCAACTGAGAAATGCCCAATTATTGAATATTTCTTCCTCACCTTAACAGCTTTTATTGGAGCAGACAGCAACTCCTTGTCAATCTCCATCGCTTCTTCATTCTCAAAGTCTTTTTCTTCATCTTTCACATTCTTTTCTTTCGATTTCGCACGGGAAGACATTGCTACTTCTTTTCAGTCCCACACACGTGTTTTCGTGTTGACGTGTTAGTCTCCTTTCAGCCGCGCCTACTGCTATTAATGATACGCGGCGAAGAATTTATCGTGAGTCGACTGGCGGAAAGATTCTGTGCGAAATTCCACTTTTCATAGTGTTCTGTGGACTGGAGATGGCTAATTTCAAATGTGAATGCGAGACACTTGATCCTCAGAATACTATCCTGAAGGTAAGGTATTGTCAGAGCCATGAAAATGATGACAAAATCGGGTCACTACATTCTCACTTTTTAAATATTCTGGAGGAGGACATCGGGCTTTAGCCCATCGGCTAGTCCGCTGTGCCCGGCGTCTGGACTGGCCCGCTTGGCGCGGTATGACTAGATGACTGAGCTGTGACTGAGCTTCAATCCTTCATCATATTCATAATCTATGTCAATTGTCATGTATGTAATGATTGATGTTACTCTGATATACTGCAGAGCATTTAATATATTCTAAGGATAAACTTTGAGTTTGAGATACAATTTTCATTTTAGTTTTTACCTCTGTTTATTTTGAAGTTGAAATGATGATTGAATGATCATGTATTGTTAAGCAGGATGAGAGATTATGATACGAAGGACGAAAGGATCGATGTTATGTATTTTCAATTTCAAATTCAAATCAAGATGAGACTAACAAAGTTGAGTCAAGACTTATAGGTTTAGAAACCATAATATGAGAAACTAAGATAGTATTTGTAAGAAAGTCCCTTGGATAGGATGTTAAATGGAGGCCCAGTGTAGAGCAGATTCAGTACCTTTGCACGTATAAGAGTAGGGGGAAACCCCGCCCCGGTGTAGTGGTCCACCTGCACACACCCCAGTATAGTACGATAATACTCTGTAAAGAGGTAGATCTAGACTATATGTACTCAAAATGGAAGAAGAAGAAGTTAAAGTGATGAATGACATGAGTCGAAACCAGAGTTACTCAGCTTTAATAGTCAGTTAGACAGAAATAACTGTCTGGTAATTTGAGAAATTCTTTAATAAAACTGACATTTACACTGAGCATTTACAGTTACACTCCAAAAACCAGTGTAATTTTGAAAAAAACAAAAACAGACAGTCTAGACTAGAGGCAGATGCAGAGGTGAGTTTTTCAAATTGGGATTTTCGTCATACTCATGGATAGTTGCTTGTGTGAGATAAACAGAATGCACTTTACTCTAAATGCAGGTATTTCTCATTTGAATTAAGGTAAACTCTTTGTAGAACATAAAAAGGAAACACCCTCCCCCAAAATGGAGACTGTCTGACAAATAGGCTACCAAAAACCTTGACAAAAGTTTGTGACACTAAGAGAGAGTCTCCCAAATGGAACACAATCTTCCACTTACTGTTGGTCATGCGCCTCTACTGCTTGTTGGACTTGAAGCTATGCTATCATATCATATCGAGGGGTCAGTGACACAAAGACGTAACTCCCTTTTGGCCATTTTGAGAAAAAGTGGTTTATGTGTCACTTAGCACTTGAGCCTTAAGGAGTTAAGTCTATGTTTCACTAGCCATTGACTTCAATGGGGGTGTTGGGTGGAGTTAAGTGTTTGTGTTTCCTGGAAAGCCCATATTTTTCTAAACATTTTGATATCAAATACTGGTACTCATTTTGGCAAAATATGGAGTTACGTCTTTGTGTCACTGACCCCTCGATATTCAGTTTTCTATTTCTATTCCATTGTCCTACCCATCCAGGACTACTTGCCGACGGGATACGACTACAGGCTGTGTCTCTTCGAAGCTCCAGAAGACAATTCCGAGAACTTCAAGGCCAGTTTTCGGATCAAGCTGTCGACACGTGACAAGGTGGAGGCCTGGTTCAAGGCCCTGCAGGAGAAGTCAGCTACGACGTGGAGAGTGAGGAAGACCTACCCCTGCAATCATGGCATTGGAGCTAGGAATAAGAATATATTCAGGGTATGACTGTTCACTTTTACTTAACCTCCATTTGATTTGGAATTTTAAGAATTTTCTTCTTCTATCAATTTCTACTGCTCCCTTTCTTTGTCCGACCTCCCCTTCCACCCCCTCCCCTCCATCCCCTCCACCTTGATTTTTTCTTCCTCTTCTCCTGCTTCTTTCTTTCTTCTCCTTTTTTTCTTCTTCTCCTGCTTCTTCTTTTTCTTCTTCTTCTTCTCCTCCTTCTTCTTCTTAATAATCTCCTCTTTCTCCTCCTTTTCCTCCTCTTTCTCCTCCTTCTCCTCCTTCTCTTTCTTCTTTCTTTTTTTCTTCTTCTTTCATGATAGATGAAATGGGATTGATATTTTCCTGCATTTTTCCTTTCCTTTTAGTTGGACTACGGCTGCCATCATAACACTCGTCCCAAACCCAAAGGTGAACCTAGGAAATCCTCCAAGCACACATCATGCAGTGCTACAGTTTACCTCGTAGTAAAGAGACAAGCCGACGAGAGAGGAAGAGTCAGGTATCTATAAAATCAATAGAGTTTATCCAATCCTCTTGTAGTCCTGGACACTGTTTCATAAAACTTGTTATAAAAAACAAGTTACAATAACTGTTATAAGCTACTGAAGTCATGGCATTTGGTTGGCTGAGAGCAAATTTGCCATAGAAATGTAGCATTTGATAATGAAAACAAGTTTTATGAAATAGGGCCCTGATGTGGTACCCTTTTTCCCTAGGGATTCAGTCACATATCTTTTTGGAAAGGAATTTTTTTAAAGGGCGAAATTGATCCCCATCACTTTTTTAAAATGGCCGCAAGTTTTTGTATTGTTATGTTGTACTAATTGTTGTAATGTCACTGAAAATAATAGACATGGGTATAAGTTTTTGTTTAAAAGTTGAAAAAATAACCAACTTTTATTGAACCTTCAATATGTTGCCGATTTAATATTTGTTTTCGTTGGCATCAAACTTAGCAGTCATGTACCAAAAATGAACCACAATCTTATTTTGATGATGGATATAACATGAGAAATTCAGGCAGCTACATTACTAAGTTGAGCTTACCAATTTGTTTTCATTTTGATTTTACCTAATCTAGTCGGTCAGCAGACCCGCACATTCGCATGGGCTACCTCACGAGGTGCACGATCAACAACTCCTACAACCATGCTCATATTCTTTTTATGATGTAGATAACAATTAGAAATTCAGGCCACATCATTACTACGTTCAGCTTCTCTCTCTCTCTCTCTCTCTAAGTGTCATATTGATTAACTTTGGCGATTATGTTGTTCCACAACCCTTAGTTTCTCGCCTTCTCTATTAGTGCCACTCCCAGTTCTTTCACTCCTCTCTCTTCCAACAATATCTGCAGACTGTCTATCCAAAGTATCCTCCTTCTTTCCCTACTCCTCCTTCCCACATTTTTCCCTGTCAAAGCAAGATTCTCTAGGCCTTCTTTACGTGTAATGTGACCCATGAAATTGGTGCACGATCAACAACTCCCACAATTGTAGGAACATCAGATGTTGCTGTCACGTACCAAAAAAAGGACCATGAGAAATTCAGACAGCAGAGATACTATGTTAAAATATTAAACCAATATAATTATAATTCTGACTATTTTTTCACATTATCTAGTCGGTCATCAGACCCGCACATTCGGATGGGCTACCTCACGAGGTGCACGATCAACAACTCCCACAACCACGCCATTAGGAGCGCAGAGGCGATGCGCAGACGTGACGTCTCTCAGGAGACCCGTGGCAGGCTCCTGAAGCTCTACGAGGAAGGGTATAAGCCCTCGGCGGCCCTGGAGGCCCTGAAGCTACGACTGCAAGAGGAATACGGGTCAGACTATGCTCAGAAGTCAGCGGATAGATCGGTGTGCCCTGATGTTCAGTACTGCTTTAGGTAGGATGTCACCAGGGCCCCATTTCACGAAACTTGTCATCAGTGAGAAATTACATTTTTGTTATAGGCTAGTAAAATCCTTGCTTCTGATTGGTTATCAGCAGATTTGTCACTGATTTTTTTTCATTTGTCATTGAAAAAAGTTTTGAGAAATGGGGTCCAGAACTTTTCTGGAATTGTTAAGCCTTGTTCAGATATGATGTGGCAATACCATGTCTTTAAAAAAAAATGATGACCTTAAAAAAAAAATTGCTATCGGAATTCCACCATTTTGTGGCATCAATTTGTGTGTACCTTGATCACTTGGTATCTTGGTTAATCTGCAACAGTTTCTTGCTCCTTAAAGTTTCTCTGTAAATTCAACTCTATCTTGTAGGATTTTCCTCATATTCTTATTATTCTCAGGAGATTTAGTCGCAATTAAGTCATACTGATTCCATTAGAATATATGTTTGCCGGTGCATGTAACAGGTTTTCTTTTCAAGGTCAAGTCTTTTCATACATTGGATTGATTCAAAGAATGACCTGGAATTGTTTTTCTTCTTCAGGTTGTACTACTCCCTGTACAAGCAAGATACCCCTAAAAAGATACGAAAGACTCTTCTAAAAGCGATTGAAACAAAGTTGCGACTCAACGACATCAACGACAACTACTTCAAGATGGCTACCACGGCGGAAGGTCATGCCGTCGTCGTGATCTGCTCCGCCTCCATGCAGAGAGTTCACGAGTTCTGGCCGACCAGCAAAGAGCTGTGCTACCTGGACACGTTCGAAGGTCTGGAGAGGCAGAACTGGAGGGTCACTGTCCTCCTGACACCGAGCCCCATCGGGGAACTTCCTCTAGGGATTCTGATGTCTTCCTCAGGGTCTTCGGAAACACTGTCTCTAGGGCTGCAGCTCCTGCATAAGCTGTTGCCGAAGTTCTCCTACTACGAGCGCGGACATAGCGGACCGAGCGTGGTGATCACCAGAGAGGATGCGGAAGAGCAATTGACCCTGCATAAGGTGTACCCGACGGCGGAACTGCTCGTCAACCCTCAGGCTCTCATCCAATCCGCAAAGGACTGGTTGTGGAATCCGGTGAACAGTGTCAGCAAGGCTGATCGCCAGGAGCTTCTGCGACATCTCAGGGCCGTCATCGAGGCGAGGACGCCAGACGATCTGAACTCCATCTATGAGCTTGCGAGACAGGACGCGGAGAATCGGACGCATCTTAACTTTGTGGAGTTCCTGGACAATCTTTACGAGCGCAGGGAGATGTGGTCTTTGGCCCTCAAGAGCAGTCCTGCCTTGTTGAACAACCGTGTCTTAGGGACTGTCAAGGTAGGCATGTTATGGTTATAGGGTTCTCAACAATGCCTTACATAATAGACCAGTTCACAGTTAGCACATGTCCCAAATGACTCCGAAATCTTCAACGCATGAAGAGGTCCCACTTTGTACATTTTTAACAATTCACTCCTACAGCCATGGAGGTGCAACATATACACGTAAATACCCTTTCTTTCCCCTTTACCTGTGTATCATGGAATGCACTGCTTGTGAATAATGATAACGCAACTTTCATGAGCATGTATCCAGTCTTTTGTCTCCGTGTATTTCACAATTTGGGCTGCAATGACCTTTATCAGCTCATGCTTGGACTGCAACTGTGAACTGGCTTATTCAATACAAAATGTACCAGTTTTCTCTTGTTTGTAATTTTAAATAAATAATTTGTTTTTCTATCACTAAATGAAGACTTGTCGATTCTGAATCTATGTAATACTGTGTTGTATATTTTTTGTATCCATTAATATTATCAATTTCCTTATAAACTGCTCAATTCATAGACATACCTACATGTTCATGTACCCTAATTACTTCTGATGTTAAATATAATCATAATGAAATATTTTACTCATGAGCTTAAATTAATTAATTTGAAAATGGGTAATGGTTTGCTTGTAGCACGACTTTAAGTTGCCGGACTAAACTATGGCAGGCCGCTCATGCCACTGTTTTCTCTCACCATTTTAATCTTTTGATAATATGTTTTCCTTCAAAAATGAATAATCAAAATCTTTGAATTTGTTGCCATGTATGTTCCTTGAGAGACCAATGCCAGTAAATTGTGAGAGCAAACAGTGGCATGAACGGCCTGCCATAGTTAAAGCTATGGTCACAAATCAGAGCAGCGACCGACTGATCAGTAGCCTGCTCGGTCGCTGCTGGAATTGGGCATCGCCCATCGTTTAGGTCGGTGCCCGGGCGGCGACCGCCCAGGCTCCGAGCGTATTTTGGGTGGCGAGTGAAAAGTGAGCAGGCGCCGCCCAAATTTTATCTCCGTGCTAAGACTTCAGCGGCGACCGAGCGATGCCCTAAAAACGAGCGGTGCCTGAGCGGCCGCCGCTCGGTGGCCGACCAGCCACCGGGCAGAAATGGTTAAAAACTCGCCGCTCGGCCACCGAGCAGGCTACTTTTAGGTAATGTGACTATAGCATTAGTCCAACTTAAAGTCGTTCTTAGTCTTTGTGAAACACCTCCCAGATTCTACAGTTTTCATTGACTTTGTGTACATTATTTCTACCTTTGCTATCTACCTTTTTGTATTCATATTTGTGTTTAAAAAATGTTACCATGGAAATGCTCAGGTACCTATGGAGAAAATACTGCAGAAGGTCAAAGGTTACAACATCCTGCGGTTGGTTGATGACCTGCTGAACCGTCTCGGTCCTTACTACGAGCGCAAGCTCATTGACGCAGGAAACAACGGGTCGGAACGAGTCACCTTTGCATCGTATCCAACAGACTTGCTCGGCCCGGAGACCACCGTGAAGAAGGTGAGGCGATCGATGCTCTATTGACGTCCCTCTGACGCATTGTCTTTCGCAGAGGGTATTTTAATCAATGATTTAAAGCCCTGGATCATGCCGAATTGCATCGAGGTTTAAATACAGCGAATATTATGTTAGGGTTAGAAATATTTGGGTTAATTTCCATTTCTTAAAATAGAAACATTTCTTTTAAACCAGACAGTTTATGAACTGTTGTGAAATGTTCACGATGCACAATCATTTTACAGTGAGAAATTTTTACTTGACAAAATGAATTGTTCTGTTTCATTTCTTTGGTTTTATTACTAAAGGCCTCACCATATCTAGATTATTTGCAAAACCCTCCAAACTTTTAGGTTTCATGAACATTCAACTGCAATATCTGTTTTGTTTGGGTTGCCTAGTTAGGTTTGAATCTTTTTACAAATTACCTTTATCTGCTAATGCTCAGATGTTAACTTTCAGTCAGGACTTTTGTTACCAACAACTCATTGTCAGAGTTAACTGGCTACTGTAGAGGTGTCGTGGTCAAGTTGATACGCCACCGGACTGTGAATCACAAGGTCCGCGGCTCGATTCCCGCTGCGGCACCAATCTCCTTTGGCGAGACATTAATCTACATTTGCCACACTCGACCCAGGTGATGAAAATGGGAACCTGGTAGGAACCAATTCCTTGAAATGCTAGAGCGCCTTAATGGCAGCCATGCTAAAGCCAAGGTAATAATTTCCAATGTGATGTGCGCTATTCAAGAACCGAATATTATTATTATTAATATTGAAGAGATGATTGGTACTACAAAATCGGAGAATCGCGTTGAAAAGAGCATTCAAGAACCGAATATTATTATTATTAATATTGAAGAGATGATTGGTACTACAAAATCGGAGAATCGCGTTGAAAAGAGCAATACTAAAGCTTTTCAACGTGCACTCATCAGAGTAAAACACAAGAATGAAACAGAAAGCCGAAATCGAACAATATATAAACAGAAACTAAAAGGAACAAAGTGCGAATATAACAAGCTCTGATTGGCTGTCTAAGGTAACGGTAAATTAGGCTTAATGCCAGCCCGTTATACTGGGATAATCGCTAAAATATTATTATTATTATTATATACCCCATTTTGCCGTAGGTGAATGAGATAGACTACGAAGTCCTCGTTGACACGTCAAACGGTCAGAACCTATCCTGCTTTCACATCAACATGGAGCATGGTCTGTGCAGCTGTCACGAGGAACAGGGGCGTATCCCGTGTCTACACCAGATGGCGGTGTACAAGAAGTTTGGAAAGAACAGCGGGACCTTCTTCCCGACCGAGCTAAGGTCCTTGTTCACCAAAATCGCTACAGGTACGTTGCTTGTCATTTAAATTAATATGAACCATTCTTCTACAATGAGTGCTAGGACCGTAGGCCCTCTCAATGCACTTCAAAATTTACGGTTTACAGTCCTGTGGTTTCAGTTTGATAATTTAAAGGGATCTGGTAACTTTGTCTCTGATTCTGTAACAAAATCCTTGATTTAGCTCATGCTGCAATGATCATTATAAACCTTTAGGTCAGTCAGGATCTCCATGACTTCTACAAGCCGATCGCCTGTCTGATTATCAAGATATTAATGATTGGAATTACAAATTTTGAAAACCGTTTGCCAAACGGTTTCATAACACTATAGTTTACTGGGGAAAACGAGTATGGTAAAACCGGTCGCTCAAAGATTTTTACTTTTTTGAGGCACTTCTTGATCATTTTGAAGAGCAATTTTTTTAGGGCTTCAATATTACACCATATCACAGACACTGATAACATGTAGGGCAGTGCATCTCAGATTTAACATTGTTAAACGATGCCTTGAAGTAATGTTATGTGAATTTTTATACGGGATGCTACGCTTTGCGTTGACTTATTGTTATTATTATTAAAACCAAATTATTATCAGGGTCCATAATTGTTAAGTCCAACTTAGAGATAAGTTCAACTTAGGATCTTTGTGAACACCCCCTTAAACACTTTACAGTGAATGGTTTTCCTTCTTTGTTGACAGGTAAAGAGACGCAGGATGACGTCTGGTACCAGCCATTGAATGGTTTTCCTTGTTTGTTGACAGGTAAAGAGACGCAGCATGACGTATGGTGCCAGCCATTGAATGGTTTTCTTTCTTTGTTGACAGGTAAAGAGACGCAGTATGACGTATGGTACCAGCCATTGAATGGTTTTCCTTGTTTGTTGACAGGTAAAGAGATGCAGCATGACGTATGGTACCAGCCATTGTATGGTTTTCCTTGTTTGTTGACAGGTAAAGAGACGCAGCATGACGTGTGGTACCAGCCACTGAATGGGTTTCTTTCTTTGTTGACAGGTAAAGAGACGCAGTATGACGTATGGTACCAGCCATTGAATGGTTTTCTTTCTTTGTTGACAGGTAAAGAGACGCCTGATGATGTATGGTACCAGCCATTGACTGTGAGCAGGGAAGTTCAGATCACATCCGATGGCAAGCAAGAACTGCCTCTTGAGGACATCAAAGTGCAGGAGGCCATGATGGAACTGTCCGCTGTCCTGGAACAGCAAGCCGCCTCAAGGATGATCAATGACGATGACAGCAGCGATGACGACGAAAGAGGGATGGAAGAGACGGTGGGGTACGTACCCCGCGAAGCGCATCAACAGCTGCAGGAGGTCTTTGCCGATTTGGAAAAGAGGCTGCTTGATGATCCAGTGGCCTTTGAAGGACCCGTCCGAGCCTTTGCAAAGAACTACCTGGAGGCTGTTCAACAGGGAAGGTTGGCTTCGGCAGTGGGTTCCTTTGGCCAGAGCAGGAGTGTCACTGGGAGCAAGATCAAAAGGACAGGTGAAGATGTGGCTCCAGACACGTCCCATCTGCATGTCATTGCGGAGACAGAGGAAGTCCATCGCAGGAAGATGGCTGTGAAACGTTCATGACCACAGAGTCCGGCAGTGGGTTCCTTAGGTCAGAACAGGATTGTCGCTGATAGCAAGATCAAAAGGACAGGTGAAGACGTGGCTCCAGACACGTCCCATCCGCATGTCATTGCGGAGACAGAGGAAGTCTATCGCAGAAAGATGGCTGTGAAAGGTTCATGACCGCTGAATCCGGAACATTATAGTCGTGTATCAGGACTATTGACCAGAAGCTATTAAGGGAACATCCCATTTGCTTGATATGTGAAACAGGGTATGAAGGTAGAGCTTAAGGCTGAAGACTTGTGATTGAAAAGCAGCATCCTGGAGCAATGGCAGCATCACATTGGGATGTCATTGCAGAGTTGATTGAGCTCCACAGTTACGAAAGTCGAAAGCTGAAAAATTGTATTGCAATCCTAAGGGTGTTCCGGCCCCTACATCATTGGGCAGTGTGTCAGTTGGATGTCAGCACAGAGCTGATAAAGATCTATTGCAGGAATTGTAAACTCGTTCTTAGCGTGTAGTCTAGACTCCACAGCTGAAGAGTTGTGGTAACATTGTCCAGTAGCTAGGGCGTTGCAGTATCATCAAAGAGTTGGTCGTGGTCTATTACAGGAACTCCAAGAAAATCTTAAGGATGGAGCCTGAAGCTGAAGATTTGTCCAGCAGTTGGGGCCGCATCACATTTGAATATCTTTCTGTATGGAGGAAACAGACATTACGAAAAGCTTTTGTTAAAAATATACCCCACCACTATAGCACAGAAACCAATGTAATTCAGGTGGGGTATCACAACCCCCATTTTGTTTCTCTCGTTAAAACTTGGACAGAGCCTTGCAGCTCTGCGTAAGAGATTATGGTATTGGATTGCAGCTGTGCTCTACATCGTCGTACTTATTAAATAGTTTAAACAAACTTTTACTGGGGCTCTGCCTAAAAGGAAATGAGAAGTAGGAAATATACATTTACTTGTTTTAAGATATTTTCATGTCCAAAAGTCACTCCTAATTTAGATGAAGACCATAATGAAAGCTTGTAATGTTATGAACCAGAGGAATATTACACTGAGTTCCCATAGGAAATCTATTTATTCAGATGGTCATATCTCAGCCAATACTTAACCTATTCAATTGGTTTCCAACATTTGGACGTTATTTGTTATGCTTTTGGAAAATGAAGAAAAAATGAATAAAAATTGAAAAAATAGAATTTTATTGACGTCACACTTCACCACTCTATAGAGTGCCAGATTAATATTTTAGAGGTTGATTTTATACAATCTAACTACATTTTTGTATACAGATATTATTTTTTAGGCAATTACTACACTTTAAAACCACCCATTGGAAGCAATTTACCAATGGATGAATAAGGAAAACAAGTACCAGTAGTCTTTCTTTGAAGTGGTATTGTAAAACATGATATTTGATAGGATTCTAAGACTGTAAATGTGTCATGTATTGCTTGTTTCGAGCCAGAAGCTCATTATGCAATTGTAGTTAATACTTGGAAAATACATTTCAATGAGTGATTTTAAAGGCCAATGTTTTGATGCAGTTCATGATTGTGTGTGCGTGTGTGTGTGTTTTACATATTACATAAAAATGCAACTGAAGTAAATGATTGAACTAAAATGTTGTGCCACTAAGCAAATTGAAAGAGTTTGCGGAAGTATGTTTCATTACGTTTCATTTGGACTTATAGGGAGAAATGAAGTGGCTAGAGAGAGAGAGAGAGAGAGATAGAGAAGGGAGAGGGAGTTTGAGATGCAAAGAAGAATAGGTTTTGAGAGAGGCTGAGAAAGAGGGGGAGAGAGAGAGAGGGTTGAAGGGGGTATACAGGAAGAGAGAGTTTGAGGATGAAGGAAGTAGAGAGAAGAGCTGAAGAAATAAGAGGCAAGATTTGTAGAGGAACTGGTTTTGAGAGAGATGGAAAGAGAGACAGGGAGAAGGATGGAGGGGAGGGGATATGAAGGAGGAGAGATTTTGAGGATGAGGAAAGTAGAGAGACAGAGAGTTGATCTGGAGAAAGCAGAGAGGAACAGGATTTGAGAGAGAGGGGGATATGGAGGAGGAGAGATTTTGAGGATGAGGGAGCTAGAGAGAAGAGCTGGAGAAAGAAGAGGGCAGATGCAAAGAGGAACAGCTTTTGAGAGAGAGAGAGAGAGAAGGAAAAAGAAAGGGGGCGGTGTTAAAAGAAAAAGATAGAAAGAGGAGACAGCCAGAGATGGATGGGAGATTTAAGAAAGCAAGTACAATTATTTAGGTTTGGCAGATACGAGAAGGGAGCAGGTTTCAGAGAGGTAGATAATAGGTATAGATAGAAAGAAAGAAAGAGGGAGACATGCAAGGAGCAGATTTGAGAGAGATAGAAATAGAAAGAAACAGAAATTAGAGCAAGCAAGAGAGAGATGCAAGACAGGTGTGAGATAGAAATATAAATACAAATGAGAGAGAAAGAGAGAGAGATGTAAGGAACATGTTTGATAGAGATGGATACCGAGAGAGGGATAAATGAGAGAAGGAGAGATGTAAGAAGATAAAGGTAGAACAAATTGAAGAGGAAGAGGGGAACCAAGAGAGAGAGAGGGGGGGGGGAGATGTAAGGGAAGACAAAATAGAAGTACAGCCAAGGTGGAGAAGATGGAAACATGGTTTTAGAGAGGGGGGGGGGGGGGGGGGGGAGTGGTGAGGCGGTGGCGGCCAAGTCTACAACCCGACAGTACAAGGGCATTTCAAGACAGAAATACGAGCACAAATTTCTATTAAATTGTTTAATTCTCGGCACCGATCAGATCAGTATAAGGGTATTTTCTCTGCCTCACTGAGTTTAAATACACTGATCGACTTTAATTATCATAGCAAATTAAAGAGAAATATAGGCTTATTATATAGGGGCAGGAGGGGAGGTATCCACAACCATCTAGATCTCGTTAAGGGTTAATGTTTCAAATTCGCCTCGTTTGGGAGAGGGCCAGTTCGCGATGCCGCGATGTCGATCTAATGCCCACCGAACCGACCAGATTTCGGGAAATCCCCGAAGTCTTGCGCATGCGCATTTGCTGCAGCTTATTAAAACATGGATGGGCTGAATACATCGAGCACATCTGAGATCTCGGATGATCAGAAGAAATCTACTACAGTGGCTGATCCAGAGGATTATCATGCTTCTCATCTCTATGGCTTCGTTGAGCAGAAAACAGACGTAAGAAGTTTCAGACTTCCATAGTGTTAAAATGTCGCGATTTAATAACGCGATTGTCGTATTTGTTTTTGTGTGGGTAGACTAATGTTTGTGTGTTGATGATGCGAGACCGAGTAAGTGAGTGAGAATTAGAGTGAGGTCCTATTTTTATTGTATGACTACGACTCAGTCCGAGTTCTCTGACCGGGATCGTATCACGAGAAAGTCATTGACCCATTGAGCACTTCAATTTTTTTTTTTTTTTTTACTCAACAGTTTCAGTTGTCGCCTAAAATGATCATTCTAAACAGCTAAACATTCAATCTTTTGAATGCATTTGTCTAGAATTGTGACCCTTGTATATCCAATGCAGAATGTCAATTGTACCCTGTCTGTTTCACTTTGTTTTTTAGACTGATCTGCCAGACTACTTCACACCCTGGTCAGACCTCGCCCATCAAACAGAGTCCCTGGTGCAGGGAGGTACACTCAGGAAACACGTTCAAAAGGTGACTAATTGTAGATAGGTCGCAAGGAGGCGAGTTGGCTCAGTCGGTAAAGCGTCCGCCTGTCGAACCAAAGATCCCGGGTTCGACTCCCACCCACGCGGATGACTGAAGCCTGTGTTGTGTTATAACGTGCCCCTTCCCTTGTTCATAGACGCGGGTTATGTTAAATGGAAAACACTCTGTCCCTCGGATAGGACGTTAAATGGAGGCCCTGTGTAGAGAAGAGTCACTACCTTTGCACGTTAAGAACCCACTGCACTATTCGTATAAGAGTAGGGGGAAACCCCGGTATAGTGGTCCACCGGCCACCTGCACACACCCCAGTATATTATACAAATAATGAATGGTTATGAGTTCAATAGTGCGAATATTTTCATGAGTTGAAAGATTAACATTCTATTCAACGAGGCGTCAGCCGAGTTGAATAGAATTAACGTTAATCTTTCAAGGAAAATATTCGCATCATTGAACGAATGAAAAACATTCATTATTTGTTTTATACAACATTGAAGAAGATCTAATAGTACGTTAATCAAAAAATTATGCTTTACCCCTTATATTAAAGATAAATTAAAGTTTGAGTCAAGCCTTTTTGATTACATTCAGATTGCCTTCGCGTCAGATACACGCAGGGATACGCGCGCGCACGGCTGAGAGGTACGCAGTCTGCATATAACCAAAAATGCACGCCGCATATAACCAAAAATGCACGACCGTGCAATATACCATCTATTGAATATCATGTGACCAACAATTCCTCCAATCAAATGACAAGGATCCACGTAGGTGTTGTATAAAGTACGATAATACTCTGTAAAGAGGTCTGTACTCAAAAAGGAAGAAGAAGAAGACACAAACTCTAAATTAATTATACATATTATTTTGTGGTTTGTTTAAATAAATATGATTCAGAGCCCTAAAAAAATGTCAGATGCATTAGTGGAAAGGGCAAAAATGTCTGCACATGCTGCATCCATTTAAACAATAAACTGCATTTCGTGCCAGGAATTTGAAAAAGGAAGGAAAGCTTTAAAATTGTGAAATTGGCAACATGTTGGGAGATTAAAAATCATTGTTTTCTACCAAAATTTGCCATTTTTTCCAACTTTTCAATTATTCTTGATCATGTACTTTATCAGTGACATATTTTTATTTTAACAATATATACCAACAAAAAAATATTGTTGTTGCCAAATTGTATATCGTATGTGGTCAATTCAGCCCTAAAACTGAATCCTGTCTTGAAAGGGTTAAACCATTTTTTTGTCTGTTCTCTTTAAATTTCCATTCCCATTGCAGCTACCATTATTGGATCACGCTAGACTAAGCTCACCCACCGAGCTGAAGACGGCTCTTGTGTACCTGACCTGCATCACATACGGCTATGTGTGGTGCGACGGAGAGGAGGGCATACCTGAGGTAAGTGAGAAGAACAAGATTTTCATAACTTCTTCTTTTTTCACACCTTTTTTTCATCCAAAAGTGATCGCTTTCAGAGATTTAATCTTTCTTTTTTTGTTGGGAGCTGTTTGTCTCATCTTCCTTGTGAAAATGTGTTGTTGTTGTTGTTGTTGTTTTAGTTTATAGGCGTTTGTCATTCAGAAGTGAATATTTACGCCTCTTCTCTAGAAGTCTTTAGAGTTGATGTAGTCTTTGTAAGGGCTTTAACAAAATTTAGTGAGATAAAATGAAAATGTGCTGATTCTCCAATTTCTCCAAGCTATGGAGCATGGGTAGATAGAATTAGACATTTATGGGCTGATATGGGGACCGAGCGTTTTCTTCTATTACTCCTCGCCTGTGGAATTCCCTCCCATCATCTATTCGCGAAATGACAACCTGGACCACTTCAAAGCTTCTCTCAAAACTCACATCTTCCTTCAGACATATTTTAAATGCTAATTTTATTGGAGGAGCTCGCGCCATTGAATGTTTTCTGAAACAGATATATTGCGCCATACAAATGCTGTTCATCATCATCATCATCATCATATGCAATGGCTACCTTTCATTGTTTGCCAGTGTGCATTAATGGACACAATCGTTTTGACCTTTTCTCCCCATATCCCAGGTTTTACCCGCCTGTCTTGCTGTACCCTATGCAGCAGTTGCAGAGAGACTTCAGGTCCCTCCCTCCATCAGCCAGTACAGCTTCATTCTACTGAACTGGAAACTCAAGGACCCCCAAGGCAAAGTGGAACTAGAGTAAGATTACTACAGTCAATTTTTTTTCAAAGCATCAACTCTTTCAGGGTGATATCGGTCACACGTTCTTCAAGTTGGCAACAATGTTATTTTTCTTTCATCTCTACAGTGATAGAATAAAATGCAATGTCTCTGAAAACAATGTGCATGGGTAAGAATGTTCTTGAAAAGTTTTTAAAATGGCAAATTTTGATCAAAACATAATGATCTTCAATCTCTAAAAATTCTACCAATTTAAGGATTTAAAATTGTTTAAAATTCCTAACGTCAAATGTAATATAGTGATGAAACCAAAATGGATGCGGTGTCTGCAGAAATGTTTGCCCTTTCTACTTGTGTATCGAGTATATTTTTGTAAGGCTCTGAATCAAAACTTATTGAGCCAAATCTTAAAATGTGTAATGATTGTTGGGAAAGGGTTTAGGTCGACTATTACCCAGCTTTAGCATAGCTGCATCATGGCGCTCTAGCATTTCAAGGAATTAATTACTACCAGGTACCCATTTACATCACCTGGGTTGAGTGTGGCAAATGTAGGTGAATGTCTTGCCAAAGGACATAGTGCCACAGCGGGACTCGAACCACAGACTTTTCCACTAGACCACGACACCTCTAAATAGGGAGAAATCAATTTTTCAAAAACTTTTAAAGAAATATCAAAACTTGGTAAGGGTGTGAGTAATTCAGTTGTTTTTGTTATTTCAGCAATATGGAATCCATTGTCACCTTACGTGGTGGTAAAGACGAATCGTGGTTCTACTGTACAACAGTGCAAGTGGAGCTAGACTTTGCTCCAGCCCTCTCCAGTGTTATTGAAGCCCAAAAGGTAACGACCTTCATTAAGTTAAAGGGATATTCAGCCTTGATAGCAGACTATTCCAGAAGGAAGCAGAAAAATGAGAGAAGCAGACTGGTATATCCTCCGGATGAAATCTGACCAAAAGAAAAAGACAAATTTATGAATTTTTGAAAGTTGTAATCATTACACCTATGGAAACTTGAAATTTGCTAAATCAAGTTCTGGACAACTTTCCCTGTTTTCCACAACGCACAAAATGTCTAAAATATCTTATTTCAGAATGTTTGACAAGGGGGAAGGGGGGGGGGCTTTCCTTTTACGAGGCTTGTAATGTTAGCCACTGTATATTAATTTGATCGTAACGTTACGTTAAGTCACCTTAAGTTTCAACCAATGTACATGTATCTCCACCTTGTAATTCTTAAAGGCTGTTTTAGATGGATCCTCACAGCGATTGGTGAAGCATCTTAGGACTATAGAGGGAGCTGTTCATAAGATGAGAAATACCTTGAACAGAATGTCCGGTGAGTTGATTTCATTTTGAAATGGACCCTAACAATGCTTGCTACAAATCATTGGGTCATCGCGTCTGGTCAGGTGGTCGCATTTTGTGAAAACCCTACAGCAAATCTACGAAAGGTTTTGTGATCTTTCTGCTTTCGTTTTACGAAAGGTCATGTAACACGCCCACCCAACCGGGTGCAATGATTCAATGATTTGAAGTAGGTATTGAAAAAGCCCCATAGCACTGACTGACACTGTAACCTTCACTTTGATATTTACAATGTACTACATTTTTACTCTTCTAGAAATTAGTAAAAGCAATCATAAAATAGCAGTAGTCATCGGGTTAACACTTCAGTCGCATTCTTTGCCTCTCTGCACTGTCGCTTGTTAACCACACATGTTATTTTGCACAAAACCGTAGGCACCAATTGAGGGAAGGGATGTGCTGTGCTACACAAGGGCAGGGCAATATTATCCTTTTTAGGAACCTTCCTTATAAAGAGTTGCCACTGATCCAAGTCAATCGCAAGTCCTCCAATCAATCGCAAGTTTGCTGCAGTCTCCTACATGTATCTCTTATGTACAAAGTTGCAGTTGATATCAATCACAAATAGGTTGCGATCAATATCAACTCTTTAAAAGATGCGGGTGCCCTGTCTTGATGAGTTCAATCACAACCATTTGAATAATTTTGAAGCCTTTAGTATATCTATCCAAGGATAAATACAATGTGGCACTGGGAGATTATTTGTGTGGCATATAAACAGTTAAAGTTCATATCCGCAAACCCTGATGTTTTTTTTCTTCTGAGAAACAGAGGGCTGTCGGCCACATGTGTTCTTCAATGTTTTCAGACCTTACATTGCTGGGTAAGTTTTTTTTGTAAAAAACATGTTTCGGAGCCCATCCTGCTTGTGCTGTTTGTAACCCTCGCTATGCTGCTTCCTTATAGTCGTGGGCCTTGCATGACACCCCAATGTCATCATTATAATGTATTTCAACATCTACAGTCTGTAGGAAACTTGTTTATATAATCCCCCTTTTCTGCACCCATGAACATTAAACTAGAAACTGCTGCTCCTCTGCAAATTAAATAACAAAGTAAAAAGAATCATTAGTAATCTTTTTACCTGTAACACATTTCATTATACACTGTAGCTGGGACTCAAAGCCATTCAAGAAGAAAAATCTGAAAGGTCTGATCTACGAAGGAGTCAGCAAGGAGCCGTTCAATGTGAGTATATAAGTCTTGAAAGTTTTATTGCATAAACACAATTTTTTTCTTCAAATCCTATTAAATACTAAAGGTGAGAATGACTGTATAATTGCTTTTGACTAGGTACTGTGTTTAGATATTGGGATAGCCCCCACCAACTAGCAGTTTATGAATTATTTCTCAATAGAAAACAAAAAGTATGACGGGAAAATTCTCAAACTATTGAAATGATTAATGTGAATACTTGGAAATGCTTAGATCATTATTGTCTCTATTGGGATCTTCGATTACGACTTTTTGTTTTCTTCTTGACTATACTATTTTTAAAAAATTTTGTTTGAGTTTCAAATTTTCTTGTTTTTCACTAGAAGACATATTTGTCTTTCACTTGGTCAACGTATTTACTGTAAGCCCCCAAAATAGAAGAAAACAAAAGAAGACAGTGTCTACACAATACATAATTTAGCGTTCATGTAATTTCATCATTTGTGATGGGTTTCGCTGTTTAGTTTACAGGGCTAAGTGCTGCACAGAGCTCAACTTTGCCATGTCTTGATGCAGCTTTCGGAGTAGTGCACAAAGAAAAAGAAGGTACAGTGAAACTTTTCTATAAAGACCACCCAAGGGAGACAAGAAAAGTGGTCTTTATAGGCATGTGGTCTTTATGTACAGGTTCCTTAAGTACATGTTTCAATGAGAAACTATTTTCAAGGGGAACAAATTAAAAATATGGTCTCTGTAGACATGTGGTCGCTAAAGCAGGTTTGACTGTAGGAAGAATGAAGGGATTCTAGAAGTGATGCTTGATGGAGTCAAACCTGTATCTGTAAGACCACTCAAAGGCCACACTAGTTGTGGTCTTTATAGGCAGGTGGTCTGTATGTGCAGGTTTTCTTTACACATTCTTCAATGACAAACACAGATTGTGATTCCAGGGGAACTTAAATTATTGTCTTTCTATATATAGGTAATCGCTATTTACGCAGGTTTGACTGTTGTATTATGCTTTTTCAGAAGTAATGATCTCAATATATACATCGTTCGGTAGAAATGTTGGTAAGCCCTGCAAACATCAACCTGATAATCAGATTCATTCGAGCACACAGTATATGCACTATTTCCACTCCTTGCAGGGTATTTCTGCCATTTTGCCACCCTAAAGGCACATATTAGTGCATACCAATCACACCATCTTTCTTGACCATTCCAGATCTCTATTTCTCCCCTGGGTTAGGAGTGCATGGCAAATGTAGATCAATATTGTGCCAAAGGACATCACTGCCCTACTGGGAGTTGAACTGATGACCTTGGTATCCTCAGTCCAGTAATCAAACCAATTGATTCTGGCATGTTGTCAAATGCAATAACAATGCCATTTCCATGCAGTCATCTTTAAATCTTTCCCACTTCAACTGGTCCTTCAATTTTATTTCACATCTGTAGACAAGTCGAGACGATTCTTCCAAGATTACATGCCGAAGCCTCACAGAGACTTGATAGCAGCCATTACATCAGGACCATCCATCAAAGACTACAGTAAGACTTGGTCTTCCTTAAAAGCCCCACTGTCCTACTTGTAGCTACTTGCTCCCTCTATATAGAAAACTACCCTAATCGGTGCCTGTTAGTCCCCCATGATCCTCTTTTTCTTATGTAAGTTGAGAGCTGAGTTAATGAGATAGCCACCTGTCAGCGACCTCGCTTTGTGGTCTAATCCCTTCTGGCCCAGTAGTATTGACAGTCTTTAACCCTTTAATCATAAAAGGGCTGGGAAGAGGAATGCACCCCTACTATATGTTTGCTCGTAACATCTTTTCATTCTTTTGCACCACAAGCTTCTGTGACTGAATAGCCTAGAATCTTGCAATAAGTTACCATGCATCGTCAGAATTGCAGAGTGGCCAGAATGGGCATTACCCCATATGTATTGTACACAGTGAAGGACTGTTATCTGCTAGGAGCCAGAAGGGCGTTAACTCATATACTTTGACTTGAGAATTAAGGCCCTTCTCTCTGTAAGTAATATTAATGATAATAATATGTCTTGTTTACCAAGGGAAGTCTCATCAGTATTAATACTGTTCTCCCTGAGGGCCCTGCAATCATATAATTACCCCGGCTCAAGTATTCAAGGAATTTCTTCCCACCAGGTAACCATTTACATCACCTGGGTGGGGTGTGGCAAATGTAGATTAGTGTCTTGCCAAAAGACATTAGTTCCACAGCCGGACTCGAACCCCAAACCATGAGATCCACAATACGGTGATGTATCCACTAGACCATGAGAACCTCTACTAAATAGATAATACATGATTATATTCATTTGCAATAATTGCCAAAACATTTGATACATAGGCATGGAACTCATCATGCCTTATTTATAAGATGATTATCTTATAAAAATTATTGAAAATTATCAATCCATTTTAAAGTATTAAGCTATAAAATACTTCATGAAAGGGATTCTTCATCAAAATAATAATGAGCTGTGAAATATTTTCATACTTTATTTTTCCTATCAGTACATTCATCAGACTCACCTGAATCACTTGAGACGTACAACGATTGTCTTCAAGCCATGAAGTCTTTCAGAGACTCTCATCTACAGATTGTGACCAGGTATATTCCTTCTGAGCCCCATTTCACAAAACTTGTCATCAGTGACAACTAAATGACAGTATTTGTTATAAGCTAGTGAGATGCTTGCTTGTGATTGGTTATCAGCAGATTTGTTACTGATTTTTGTCATTTGTCATTGAAAAAAGGCTTTGTGAAACGGGTCCCAATTATCAATTTTTAGTGCAGCAATTGCTGCCAACTTTGCTCCAGCGACAAATGCTCTGGGCTTCATGTTGCCAAATCTAAAGGGTTCGGGTTAGGGTTAAGATCAGGCTTTAGGTTTAGTGTTGGGCAAAGTGTTGGTACAGTGTTTGAAAAGAGGAATTTGGTTAGGGTATGAAACTACTGCATAGCAGTGTACTGTTGAACCCTCCTGTTCAAGCCAGGGAAACCTTTAGAGACATGCATCTACAGGTAGTAGCCAGGTAAAATCTACCTTCTCCTATATTCACTTTCTGTTGACAATATAACTTGATTGAAATCTTCAACTGGACGTAATGGAGTTGCCCTTGGACTTTAAGCTAAATTTGAATCTTGTTTAAACACCTGTTCAGATATTAAGCATTTAAACCTAGGTGTTTTCTTTTTCATATAAAGTGTAAACAAATGGCAACTGTCTGCAACAAAGGTTATATCTGGGGGAGGCTTTAGAATGACCAATTTTGATCATGTATTTTGTGCAGGTTTATCATCAACATGGCTCATCAGAAGACTGGCCCTGGATCATCAAGCAAGGGTGCTACAGGAACAGGGGGAACAGGTATGAACTTTGATGAATATATTGCAATTGATTAGGTCAATTTGAATTTCCCATTTGCATGTTGATTACAACTTTTAAAACAAATCATAACTTTCTATCTTACTTTCTGTCCAATTTAATTCAGACTTTCATTTTTCTGTTCAGTTCAGTTGTATTGGAAATGCTTGCAATTGCACATAGCGCCTAGTGCATAGGTACTTTCTTTATGGTAGTGACATGAAACGGGAGAACCATGGTAACCGTGGTACCGAGAACCAAGGTAACCTTAGTACCAAGAACCATGGTAACTGTGGTATTGATAACCTTGGTAACCACATGTGGTGGATGGTAATTTGGACAAAGAATCATGGTACGGTACAGAAAACCATGGCTACCATGGTTCCTTGTCCAAATTACTATCCACCATAAGAACCATCGTAACTCCTCATTTTTTTTTCTCGCTTAAAAATCTGTATCTTAAGACCACTACCTAGAAATACCACTTTTCATGTCTCCCTTGAGTGATCTTTATATATAGGTTTCACTGTAGTATTTCTATTTCTTTTCAATCTCACCCTAGATTTAATGACCTTTCTGAAGGGACTGCGAGACTCCACCCTTAGGGCTATGCTGCGCACCACCAGAGGAGGAGATGGAGAAGATGCCTCCGAGCATCTCGTTCCTACGGCAACCCCTCCAGGATGGGTGAGAGGAGACGTGAAGAGGGCGCTTCAAATTACATTGGTGTTTGTTGCCGCTGCAGCCGGTACCATGCTTGTAATGAGGAAGTTTTCACGATGATGGAATATCCTTGTGGTCTGTGGAATATGACTGTCTAGAAAGGGTTCAAGATAGGGTGAAATTCAGGGCCCTATCTTACAAAGAGTTACGATTGATCCGAATCAGTCGTAATAATAATAATAATATTTAGCTTTTATATAGCGCTTAATACAATGTCTCTAAGCGCTTTACAAATATATTATTACCCCGGTCATTGGATTCAGTGCTTGCCCGCACACATTGTATGCACAATCTCCACTCCCTGGGGAGCATTCCAGCCAGGCGTTACTTGACGCTCAAAAACTGTTTGACCAGTATCAATCGTATCAATCTTAACTCAGCGTAAAGTTCCAATTGATTTACAATCAAGCGCAGCTTATAAGAAATCCATCGTAGGCTTGGGTTGCCTTCGGTACACCCAATCAATTATTACAATCATGGCTGCCATGCTAATGTTTGTTGCAGAAGGGGAGGATCAAGAGGAAGAGACAATTTCATAGGGTGTTCCGTGATCACACCCAGCCTCTGAAATTTGGTGACAGAGACGTCAAAAGAAAGGATAGGTTTACGAGACAAGGATGCATGACCTTATAGAGCCAAAACTAAATATCACAAGGCAGGAAGAAGTGACTCCTTACCAGACCAGCTGCAAATGTTATAATAGTTGCTCTTAACTTTTTTGCGACTGGTGCACCCTTATAAAAAAAGTACCATGGTTCTTGGTCCAAATTCATACACAAAGAACGTTTAAACACTTTTTTATTTTAAGTTTTACCTTAAGATTTTTCTTTTTTCTTTTTGAGGCCGCCATCCTAGTCAAGCTTCGCTTATGATTGCGGTCTTCTGCACTTTTTCAACTGATAGTTTGGATAATACTTTAAATTTATAATATTATGTTATAGAAATATTAAGTTTGTTATTATATGTACATATGTAAAAAAAAATTTAAAAAAATTAAAAAAAAATTTTGACATGAAGTTATCATAGTATGTATATTTTGTATTATACCTTACATTTATATGTTCTTTATTATTTTGTCTTATGCACCGCACACAGAAATGTGATTAGTTGGGACTACATGATATAAACGTTTTAATTTTCAAGTTCCATTTATTATATAATTTCATAACAGAAATATAATGTATGATAACAAATTGTATGTACCAGTAATTAAAACAGCCAGTGGCTTGCAATAAGACAAAGGGATTTCCTTTACAATCATAGTAATGAAAACAACAAATATAGAATATAACTTTTAAGTCCAACTTCGAGTTAAGTTCGACTTAGAATCATTGTGAAACCCCACCCCCCCCCCCCCCCCCCCCCCCCCCCCCCCCGAAGTGAGAAGTTATGTCTCGTAGCTTTCAACCATTAAAATATGAGCTCAAATTGACTTTTAGCATAAAAAGCATATCCACCATTGTTTAGAAGTATTCAAGCTCCATGGTGAATCAATGCTGTTGACCCAAAATATATGTAATGCTCAAATTCACTTTGAGCATAAAAAGTGTACCTGCCAATTGCAAGTAATGTTTAGAACTTGGTACTCTAACTCCATGGTGAATCGATGCTGTATAGACCCAAAGTCTATGTAATGTGATCTAAATGTGATGTTTATGTAATACTGGTAAAAAAATAAATGCATATTAAGCAAAGGTTTTGAATAGAAGCAAATGTAACAGGAATGGTTCTGGCAGGGCACTAGCTATACATATTCTGCACATAAAATCTCCAACAGATTACTTCATATTTCATGTGCAGTAGAAGTTCTCATAAAAACATTATATGGACATATTGTTAGCCTAAACCTCATGGAATGAACCTCATGTGCTTTATTTTAGAATTTTATTATTTTGACTTATGTTACCAATTGAAATGTCAATGAAATATATAGCTGAATATTGTTCTTTGTTCTATGTCTTATTCAAAAAATTATTTTGAAGTTTGTAACCAATTGAATGTATTACTTTTTGTATGCCTTATTCAAGAAAGATTGCATTGTCTAAATTTGTTACTATTTTGAATTATATAACTATCTGAAATATAATACATGTAATACACAGCAGTGAGGGCATTAGTAAGAATTATCCACACAAGTTACCTTTAGAACAGTCTAACACGTTCGAAGGTGTGGAGCTCTGTATTGCTCAAATCTATTTGTCACAGGTAATCCCATGTTGCAACTTTAATCCCATGTGTTGCAGGATTAATCCCATTTTGCAGTTTAAATTACATGTTGCAGGTTTAATCCCATGGCAAAGGTTTAATCCCAGGTTGCAGGTTAATCCCATGTTATTGGTTTAATCCCATGCTGCTGGATTAATCCCTTGTTGAAGGGTTGGTTTGGTGAATACTTAGACACATACAGTTGACAACTAGATTATTCATACCCTTACCAAGTTTTGTAATTGTTTAAGTTTGTGAACCCCCCCCCCCCCCCCCCCACTCCGTGAATGGAGGGATACCATGCGTGTTCCCAAAATGTCCGGTAAAGGGGTACTTTTTACGCACCAAAGTCCGGCTCCTAGTACGCAAAATTCGGCCCGTATGGACTTTATACACCAGACTTAGGGTTTTTTTTAAAAGGAGGAAACATGCATATGCGTACCCTAAATAACACTGAGTGGGGGGGGGGGGGGGGGGGCTGTGGTGAAAAATTTACTTCTCCCAATTCATTTTTCTTGAGAATGTGACATATCAAAGCTTACTTCTGAAAATGTTCTAGAAAGGCCCTTATTCAACCAGTCCACCTATTTCAATCTCGAGTTACTAAAAACACAAGAACCATCAAATTAACAAGGGGTTTGAATGATGTCATTGTTAACAACGTATTTTTTTGATCTTCTATTCCTCTGGGTGGTCTCTTCCCGTGCCCAAATAAGTCATGTAATTTACATTAGCCAAGATTGGTGTTAGATACTACCTACTAAAAGAGAAAAGAGCACAAATACAACTACAAAGAAAAAGACATTTCAATATTTTTTGTGCGTGTTACAAATGCTGCGAATGTCAGAGTGAGTGCCTCCACATTCAATAAGTATGTCTTTTTCCTGCTGTAGTGCTTTTACTTTTTCATTTATTATTTTTAATTATGTCACCAACTGAAATAGTTTGGATATGTAGTCTGAATGTGATTCATGGCAAGATGATGTTTGTGTGGTTACTTTATAAAAACTTTTTGTGCGGTTACTTTACAAGTCCATCTGAATGCATGTACATTTTTATTGGTTGCATTTATTGAGCCGAAAAATTGTGAAATAAATGAACACATAAGTTGAACAATATTTATTTTGTCGTCCACTTGCCCTTTTTTTTTCCTTTTATGGATTGTATATGTACAGTGCGATTATGGGATAAACTGAAGAATCCCCCCCCCCCCCAGGTATAATGCTAGAATGGGAAGGGTACGTGACCACTGTACTAAAGCAGGTACCTAACTCTTTCAAGACATTTAAAGTTTTCTTATTTAATTGTGAATGTTGCTAGATTTTGATGCTGATAACCCTTTCTCAACCTCCCATTCTGAAGTATCTTTTCTCTCTTTGTCCAATCTCTCCCTCCCTCTCTCTATCTCCCTTTCTATCTATCTCTCTCCTCCTTTTCTCCCGCCCTCTCTCACACTCCCTCCCTCTGTCTTTCCCTCTCTTCCACGATCCCCCTCTCCTCTATCTCATTCCCTCCGCATCTCCTCTAAATCTCTATCTCCTTCCTCTCTCTCTCTCTCGCTCCTCTCTCTCTCTCCCTCTCTCTCTCCCTCCGATCTTCTCTTTCTCTTCCTCATCTCTCTTCCTCACATCTCCTCTCTACATCTCTGTCTTCCTCCTTTCCCCTCCCCTAGGCTTCTCTCTCTCTCTCTCTCTTTGTCTCTTTCCCTCTCTGCTCTCTCACACTTGTATGTCTTCCCCTCTCTCTCTCTCTCTCTCTCTCTCTGGTCTCTCCTTTCTACCTCTCTTTTTCTCCCGCCCTTCAATATGACAAAAATGCTAAATAAGAAAACTAATATAAACTGTAATTTACATAAAACGGAAAACAACAGATTTCTTCGAACATTTAGTAAATGGTAAACTCTCGTTCTTCTGGGGGGGGGGGGGGGGGGGGGGTAGTGAGCACATTTTTTTTTGATCCTCAAAAAAAATTTAATTTGCACCCCCCCCCCCTTGAGTGCCAGGGGGGTGGGGGGGGCCTAACCCCCAAAAAAGGTAAAAATCACTTTTTTCTCAAGGGGGGGGGGCCCGGGCCCCCCCCCCCCTGGATCCGCCACTGCCCTATCCCTATTCTAATTTCCATACACTTTATTCATCGATATATAGGGGAACCTGGGGCAAATACAGTGGACCCCCCAAAAATGGAACAACCAGAACAGGATTACAAAGCAAAATAAAGCAAAAAACTTTTGGTTTATACTTTTACCTTAGGACTACCACTAACAAATGCCACTAACAATGTTTCTCAAATAATCAGTTTTATTATAGGGATAGTTGAGTTGCAGAGGGCGCTACACAAAATTGTTGTGAGATAATGAAAAACTGAGTGTCACATTTGAAAGAACATAAAATTTAAATGACAAATCATCTTTGTGTGTTCAAAGTCGGTTCAGAGACGGCTGAAATATCCATAAATATAACGATTTCTAATTTATTTGTGTACCACCACAAATATTCGATAATTTGAAAAAGCCGTTGACAAAACGAAATAGCGTCTTTTACGTTGTATTTCAGCCAATGCCAATGTTGGCTTTTTCGTTGACTTTTTTTCGTGTTGGTTATATTAAGCCCAACCAACCGGCCCATGTATTGTAATTATTAATTAATTGATTAATTAACGGTCACCGTATTTTTTAGAAAGTGGAGCTAAATTGGTATGGTTGTATTGGCTAAATTTCACACAGTTTGGGGTCTAAAATTACCTTCTTAGCAATTTCAGGTCCTCATGATCAAAGGGCACTAGAAATGTCATTGATAAGAATAAAAGCACGTGTAGCCATCGTATTATATTACGATGACATCCAGATGGGACCACGGTGTCGGCGAAGACAGCCGAATTTAAGTAGCTCAAGCGTTTCCCATATGTGTCATGGTAACGTGGACATATGTTGCAATAAGCTACATTTCTCGTATCTATACTGATTTGTTTTTCAGATTCAATATATCATGTTATGGAATATTTTATATTACATTATGTGTTTTTAATTAAGTTCGTGAACTTTCGTAATTCGGCTAAACGCCACGATGAAAGTTGTATTTGAAATAAACCATTTTGAATGAATGAATAAATGAATATAAAAAGCCAGCCTCGTAGCCAGAGGCTTTTTCAAGTACCCCAAAAGTGCCCCTATAACTTCTTAAGAAGTGCCAATTTTTACGGAGAAAAAGGGGCCCGTTTTACCTTAAAAAGTGCCCATTTCACTTTTGACAAGTGCCTCCATTCACCTCGGATAATAACCGTATTCAAATTTGAGAGGTGCCCCTTTTACTTTGACCAGTGCTTCTTTTCCTTTGTAGGAAGTGCCTCTTCCCCTGATAATAACTACCCACTTTAACTCCCATAATCGAACCTTTTATTTTCCAATCTGATAAGTACACCCTTTTCCGTATGATAAATATCCCCATTGAAACAAAAGAGCTTTTTCCCCTTCTCATAAATGCCCCCTTTTCACCTATTAAAAGTGTGCCTTTTCATTTTCATAAGCACCCCTTTTCATATTTAGTCAGTGCCTCTTTTCAGGGGCGATAAATGCCCCTTTTACACCTCTGACAATTTCCGTTTTAACAACGATACGTGCCTCTTTTCCTTTCTTATAAGGGACCTGTCCCCTTTTCATTAATTCCCATTTTCAACTCTTATGAATGCCTCTATCAAAATCTGATGGGTGCCCCAATTCCGTCGAAAAATTCCCATTTACCATTCTCACAAGTGCCTTTTTAATCCCTGGTGAGTGCTTCTTTTCAGCTATAAGAAATAAGTGTCTTATCCTTTTCGATAATTGTCCCCTTTTCTTCTCTTTTGAAACGTGCCCCTAATTTAAAGTGAATATTAGGGCGATTTCACCCAAAACCCGCTCGCTACACTCACTCGCATTGATTTCATAGATGATATAATTATGTTACTTATCAAAGGTCTTTTCAGTTTTCCGTTATGAGAATGTGTCTATAACCCCATCAGTATTGGATGTAATTATCTTTATAAGATGCAATTTTTTTGCACTGCGACCTCGCAAATCTTAACATTTTTCCTCGCTCGCATATGAATATTCAGACCATCATACCCAACTGCAAAGTATGATGCTTAAACAATATCTTGCATGAAGTACAAAGAGAAATAAATATTGAAAGCATCCCTGTTAATGTAACCACAATATATAGGGGTACATACCAATGTCTAACAAATTGTATATTTTCGATTTGAGATTTCCCTTTGTATGTGCCCTTTTTTCCAGAAAGTGCCCTTTTTTTTGTTGGTCCCATCCCCCAATTTGGGCATCATTAATTTCCGATCAACAATTTATTTTCACACCGTCGGTCGAAGGTTTTATACCATCGGGAGTTCAGCGTGACGCCTTCATGACCTAGTTGGAACGCATCGTACTCTCAATACGACGTCGTGTAGCCATTGTGTGGCCTTCGTGTGGCCTGGGGGCCTTCTTATTACAAATTCACATCTTCGTGATGCCTTCGTGAGTGGTTCGGGTGCCATCGTGTGACCTTCTGTAGGCATCGTACTTGCTTCGGCTGTTGGTTGGCTGCTGACCTAGTTCAGTGCCATCTTCGTGCGAAGTTCAAATTTCCTTCATCGTGTGTCCAACTTATGTCAACTTCGGGACAGTGTGACGCGGGCATTAAGAACGTTTCTTTTGAGGCTGTACTTGAAGTGGAACGAATCGAACCGTTATTTTGGCACCCTCCCTTTCTTCTTGCACGAGTCCAGCCACCATGTGTTCCAGTCTTTTTGTTTCGTTGGCTTATAGGTTCCATTTCGAACTGCTTTCGCGTCAGCTTCTAGACGGTCTCCAAGCTCACACATGATACTTCGCGTGGATCCTCCGTACGGTTTCAAAGAACCTTTCTTTTTCCATTCAAAATACTTGCCATAGAGGGCGTCGTCCGCGTCCACTTTCTTCAGAAATTCCCTAATTCCCGCGCGGTTTCGAAGTCCTGGATGTGGATAAAAGAATTAGGAGGTGCCACCTTTTTTTTTTAAAGGAAAAAAGGAAGAAAAAAAAGAAAAAGGGAAGGTGTTTAACAGACTCGACGATATCGACAAAAGTTAGGAGAAAAATAAATCGATAGGCGTAAATAGTCAGATCTGACTAAACGCAAATAAAACCAACTAACAACAACAACACACCTTTTCATAATCACTCCGCGGAGGCCCGAAGACGATTGGGACTATTTCCCTGTAGAGGGCTTGGATCCAGAACTTCTCCGTGATATAGTCCGTGCACTCGCTGTTTTCCAGCGCTAGTAAGAACTTGTGCTGCTTGAGCGCCCTCTCGCAATCTTCGGTGCCAGCTGTGCAGGTTTGGTTTCCACAGCGGCCATACATGTCCACATTGATGTATCTATAACGTAAGATAAACAGAGCAAAGTATTTAAGAAACCAAAAGACCTTTAAAGGTAAAGATCAGTTTTAGAAACGCCCCCTTTCAAAAAAATGAAATGGAAGCTTTTGATAAAGTGAATGAAAATTATAATAGGGATTTATAAAATGGAAAATTTTGCCGAGAAACCGCCTACTAATTGATAAATTTGGTAAATTATTATATCTATTTGGACCTCGAGAGATATCGCGCACGTGTCGCGTAGTCCCATATACATCTTTCTGTGTACAGTGCTTGTAACTTTACCAAGACTGGGCCAAATTTCTTATCATTTTGATGATTCCATAACCTTCCAGTACACACCAATACTTATATGCTAGATGATCAACCTTTTCTGATCGATTCCACAACGTTTCTTTCACAATGCAATCGCATGACCATAACTGGTCTTTATCTTTAGTTTCGAGGTCTGTGAATCGTGAACAGTTGGCATTATCACAATAATGTTTCTGCGTGTATCATAGAATTTCTACATTTTGTCGGTACTCTTCGGTACACTATCTAAACTACATTTTCGTTACGTAATAGATATCGAATTCGTGTATGTCATATATGCAGGCACGTAGCCACAGGGGGGGGGGCACGGTTGAACTTTTTTGACCTCGATCGATTACATGTATGTGCCCCCCCCCCAAAAAAAAAAAAAAAAAAAAAAAACATCAAACTCTGGCTACGTGCCTGATGTCATGTACACACTTATATGATATTCAGACGTGTTTCTCCCTCCCCCTCCGATCCGTTCCGTATTATGAAAGTATGATATATATCGTCTGTTCAGGGACAAAGTAGGGCGTCGTCTCTGGGTGAAAGTACGGTGAGCTTAATGCCCTCCAAGTTCCAAACAGGCGACATGCACTCCGCCAACGTTTTGAAGTGTAAAGGCTTGTTCATAAACGATGTGGTATTAAAAAACCGCCGCAAAATAAGTAAAATAAACTGACGCAGTATTTCTCGTCTACATGTGAATAACTGGCAACTGCGCCAAACAAAGGCCTTACTTGCGCTTATTCACTGAGCTCTGTTGTTGTTGTTGTTGTTGGTAATAGTTTAATGGCGTCCATTCAGTATTGAATATATATGCCATATCTTCAGTTTTATAAGAAAATCAGTTATACATAAGAAAACTGAGAATGTGTAATGACATAATTAATTAGTCAGTAACGCAATTCATTAGGAGTCTCTGGATGGTTTGCAACTTCGTGCTTCTCCTTTTTTTTTTTTTTAAAGTTTAATCCTGGTCAGCCCGGTTTCGATTGCATGGAAAACTAGCTTTGCCCGATTTGAAACAGGCTTCTCGGCTACTCGGCGAGCTCTGTTTTTATACATGTTTTTATAAGATACAGGAATGTAAAACGTATTACAGTTACTTCATCATGGACAAAACAACAACAAATAACGTAACGGTTTGACATCGCATATCTGAACGAGGCTTTACTTGCCTCGCCAATCTATTCACAAAGTCCTGTCTTGGCCAGGTTGTCCTTTTACAGTTCGAGGCCATCCAGACGACCGGCCTGGAACGATTCTGAGCCCAATTTCTCGTGACGTTAGCCTCGATCTGAGGTTTCCCTGCGAGGTATTGTCCGTAATCTGCCCGAAAGTCTGAATCGTACCGAAATGACATGATATAGTCATATGTGTTGCTGTAGTATCTGGTGGGAGGAACGACGTGCTCTTTGGTGTTGAGCGGACTCTCGAGGGTGTAGAACACCCACTTCTGGCCCCATGGTCGATGACAATGCAACGTCTCCCAATCCCACTTGGACCAATGAAATAAGATAAGAGCCTCGTTCTTTTGCATAGTCTCGAGGGTCATATCAACGGACAGCTGTACATCGCAAGTACTTCCGGGGCATTTGATCTCATGGATGCCTTGGGAATATCCCAACTCACCGGCATCTCTTGCCCAAAGATGAACCTTGCGGGGGCAGCTGATGGACTCATCAGCCCCATGCACCCTTTCCAAAATCGAATGCTTCACATTACAAGGTTGAAAATCAACACTCATCATCAGGTATATGAGCTGGATGTATCCCAAAGCGCCCGTAAGAAGCAGCATACAGAAACGCGATTTCCTCACGGTCATACCTGCGCAAGAATATCGGATAGAATGAATGAATAAATACATATAAAAACATATGAAACACTTTGTTACAATGAAAAGAAGCCCCAAACGCTTCATTAGTGTACTGACTTCATCATACGTGATATGAATATGATGTACGTAAAGACTACTTAAAATACATATCGATCTCATTGCCAATATTATGGTTCAAGGACAATTGCCCCCTAGCTGGGGCAATCATCCCCCGGAAAATCACCCCCCCCCCCGGATAATTACCCCCCGGAGAATTATCCCCCGAGGACAACTACCCCCCACCCAAGGATATTTCCCCCCCCCGGAAAATTACACCCGGAAAATTACCCCCAAGGACAACTACCCCCAAGGACAACTACCCCCGAGGATAATTACCCCCGAGGGCAATTACCCCCGAGGACAACTACCCCCAAATGAAAATTACCCCTGTGGCATTTGTAACATTGTGACGTCTAATGCGAGCTTCTCTCCAGATTGCAAATTGCAAACATCGTGTTTGTTTTCCTTTTTTTTAATAAGTTCATTTTCTCGCCTAAATAAAACCAATAAAATGCCAAAAATAATGTGACGTAGGCGATTGTAGTATGTCCCCAAAACATAAACAGAAGCTCGCAACCACTACATGGAGTCTTTGGCCTTTGCTGTATAAGTTTGATGCATGTTTTGATTGTTTACCATGTATGTTCTTTGAATTAGACAAAGATAAACTAAAAATAGAAGAAAGAATAATGTTGCTTATTACATAAAACATACACTGTTCCTCATAAAGTTGGAATATTTTTGTTTTACCCCAATTTATGGAATTATTTTGACAATGATTTATTCCTAATAGATCTAGATAACACAACAGTATACATTCTCAGATGTTATTGAATAATAATTTGCCAGTGTTTGTTTTGCGTCACTGCTTAAGCATGTGTATGCTACTATGATTATCAACTTGGGGACCTACGCCCTTAAGTCATAAATGATAGTAAGGAGAATTAATGCCCCACAAAAAGGCACTAATATAGCAAATCGACACGGTTTTGATCGTGGGGCCTCACAGTTACGAGGCCATTGCTTTGCCACTGAACCCTGACTGTAGGCAGCGGGGGTTAGGGTAGGGGGCAGTTCCCACAAATAAAAAACACAAAGAAAATGCAATAAATTATCAATAATTCATTGAATCCCCCCCCCCCGGTCCCCACCAGAAACAAATCTGATGTGTGCCCATGCCTTGAGCCATAATGCATGGCCGTACAGGAAGAAAACATATATTATTATCAATACAGCTAGCAGAGCATATTTTACTATATTTCCGGTGTCGATTGGAGAAAAAATCCTCTAGAAACAACGCTTTCAGATGTTTCATCCAACAAAAAAAGCTACATCTAAAAAATTATTTAAGAAATCATTGAAATAATTTGAAAATGTTAATTTATTGAAACATTGCACTCATCGTCGAGGCAGGTAAAATGCACCATATATATAAAAGGAAAAAAATCAAAGCAATTAACAAGTCCGTGATCACCCCAGTGGAATCAAATCCCTTTTGAATGAATTAACACAAATCTGTAATCAAAATTGACTAACTTTCGACAAGCACGTTTTTAATATCTAATACATATAGCGATTATTTCTCATTATGTTTGATAAATATATTCATTAAAAAAAAAAGATCGGTCAAAAGTGCATTTAGCACCTTTGGGATTTTAGCTCTATAGACAGGTAGTGTATAACTTTAGCAACATGAAATTTAGGCCTGTACTCACTTGTTTGGATGTTGGATTCCAGTGATTAGAGTAGATAATTGTGGAACCTAGTGAAGAGTGACATGACGAACCTTAAGCAATGGGCTAACGTAGCTTTCCTGCAGCTCTCTTCATTAGTAATAATTATGATGTTCAGTATTTCGGCAGGTAAATTTGTATGGGCCGCCGTTTGGGCCAATATTAACAACCACAAAAATAGACAAAGATGCATTCAAACAAAGGTCAAAGCAAAATAAACAAAGTACCCAGAAGAAAGGACAATTAACAATTAGCAAACAAACGGAGGTCAGAGCAAAATAGACAAATTACCCAGAAGAAAGGACAATTTTACAAACATACAAAGGACAAAGCAATAAACAAAGCGACGAGAAGGTCAAATTCACAAGCAAAGGATGAACTGAAACAAACATAACAGCATCGTACGAACTGACCCTCAAAGGACAACAGAGGGCGTTTCGGGTTTACGGTAAGCAAATAGACATCAATCACGAAGAAAGAGAAAGGATGATTTGAAACAGACATAGTGCATTGTACGAACTGAATTTGTCCTTCTCGTCGCTTTGTCTATTGCTTTGTCCTTTGTTTGTTTGTAAAATTGTCCTTTCTTCTGGTTGCTTTGTCTATTTTGCTCTGACCTTTGTTTGTCTGAATGCATCTTTGTCGTTTTTGTGTTTGTTGATACTGGCTCTATCGGCGGCCCATAAATTTGCAACCAGTCATACGATCTCGGCTGAGATTGATGACATTAAACAAGGAGTTCACCAGGCCAGTCCGGATATGTCTTAAAGTAAAACGCACAGATTCACACACACAACTTTTGATCACTAGAAGTACTTTATATAGATTTACTCTTCATGAAAGGGAAATAATCGAAATTGTGTCAGTGCAAGAATGATCATTCGCAGGTATTTCTTCGATCTTCGGAAAACCTGTTAACCGCTCAAAAAGAAGACTTATTCAGCACTGATATTTGTAAAATTCGCTGTGCAAGATATTAACGGTTGATTGTCAATTTCAACGCCATATAAAACATCTACTACGTTTCATTATGCGAATGGGACCTCTTGAAGATTAAAAGAGGAAATCTTTATAAAGTACTTCTATTGATTATACATAACCCTTGTCACCCATGATATATATTTTCCTCTTGAAGTGGCCTGGGTTGTGGACGTGCGATTCTGCAAAAATGCGAATTATTATCTTATTTATCTTACTCTTTTAATTATCAATAATTTATTTGTATAGTATACGTTTTATGTATTTATCTGCCTTATATTTGGAAATGTCATTATTGACTTTAATAAGCATCCGTGGCAAAGCAGATGAAATGCCTAATTATATTCTATGAACTATTTACTGTTAACAATTCAGACTAAAGTCCGTGTCATTAGGCTGCCTTTCAACACGTCTTGAGAGCTGTACGAACCTAAACAAAAAAATCTTCAGATAACGTCACTGTTATGCGACATAAGATGGATCAGGGTCCCGTTTCATTAAACTTTTTATCTATTACAAAGGCTAAATTTCTATGACAAATTTGCTCTCAGCCAATCAGATGCCATGGTTTCAGTAGCTTATAACAGTAGCTTGTAACCTGGTATTGATATCAAGTTTAATGAAACAGGGTCCAGGTTCAGGCAAACTTTCATGCCACAAGTGTGTGTAGTCGATATGCTCATTTCTGTCTAAAGTGCATGTGACTTTCAGGTAGATTTAATGATCAGGGCCTCCGTCTTACAAAGAGTTACGATTGATCCCAGTCAATCGTAAGTCCTCCAATCAATCGCAAGTGTGCAGCCTCCTATCTCTTATGTACATAGTGACGATTGATATCAATCGCAAATAAGTTACGATTGATATCAACTCTTTGTAAGACGGGGCCCAGGTCTCAACAATCTGATAATTTTATGTCATCTCTTCTTCTTTCACAAAACAATCACATTAACAAGAAGTTAACTTGATTTTTAATTGATTATCCGAAAATCTTAAGTGGGTGAGAGTGTGTAATACTCAAAAAGGCTATCTTTCCTTAAAATTCATGCTTTATTAGGAGATCAGAATTCCCGAGCTGGCTCCATAACATGTACAGTGTACATGTATGCTGTACTCCTTTACCGTCATATATACATTCAAATAGAATTTCAAAAAACAACCTCACATGGAGAGCTTGATACCATGTGCTATTCTTGTTTGCAGCATATATGACTTGTAAAAGCCAGCTTCTGGTGCATCTACTACCATATCATTTCATTAGACTCATTCCAGGAACTATTACAATATTATAATTTACATATTTAGCATCCTGCCAATGTTGGGGACATCAACTGGCAAAATACCAAAGTTGATAATACTAGGGGTCTGGCTTGAAGACTAATTACATCAAATTCAGTACAAGTAAATTCCGAAAAGGGACCCAGTTGGAATGTTCATATATTCCTGTATACAACAAGTTTCCTAACACAGTATATATTCTCCTTTTGGTCATATCCTTTTTCACATCTTGCAGTGGTTTTATATGGGGTTGTCCCGTACGTCCCACACTTGTCCCGTACGTCACATTTCTTAATATGATTATGTAATCAACACAGAATTTTTGTAGTTTTTGTTAAACCTATTTTGTGTTAGGTATTCATCTAAACTAGAACTTCCTAGAATATCTTTTTTTAAACAATTATTTTCATAATTAAAATTAAACAAATAATGTTCAAATTTGTGACGTACGGGACATCACACTTTGGAACCTACCTCATTTGCATAATTAATAAAGTTTGAAAGTTTTTATATTATTTCCCTATTTTCTAGTATGATGGTCTACGTGTCCTAAGATGTTTATTTATTTTTTTTAATTCAAGTGAGATACAAAAATAAAAATGTAATATCCCGTACGCCACGCTAATTAATAAAAATCGAAGTTCGTGACCTTGGTATTCTTCGTATTTTGATTAATTATTATTTATTCAGATTCATAAAATTCATAGTTTCAGCTTTAAAATGATGTATAGTTTGTTAAATATACATAAAGATGAAATTTGACCCCCAGAGGGGACAATAGCTTGGACCTGTCCACCAATAATAAGAGCAATGAATGAATGAAATATAAGATCACCATATCTATGCAAATCTCAAATTAGCAATTTAGTCAATCGAACATGATGT